GGCATGTTCGTTTGCTTGTCTCATTCACTTGCCGCAATTTTTATTGGTTAGTAGTTCATTCTTGCTTTTGTGGGTGTGCTGAAACGACCGAGTTAAGAACCGTTGGATGCATACGGAGCTCATGATTCAAACCTCATCATCTCTCGTTTGGGGTTGGTTGGATCTGAGAACCATGAAGTGTGAGAAAACCACGCGCGCAAGTCGTGAACCAGTTCAAAGACAGATCGTCGGCTGAATGTGGGTGTAGGATGGTGTAGGATGAGGATGGATGAGGTAGATTAAGTGGAAAATTGATCCCTTCCTTTCGTATGTGCAGAATTATGCATGAACATGCCGGATTTTTTTTTGCATATTTATCATTTATCCATTTGTCTGTCTATCATCTATCATTGTCTATCTATTTGTCTATTGATTTATCTGTTTGTTTACCAATCTTTCTACCGACCTATCTCTCTATCTACCTATCTATCTATCTATCTACCTATCTATCTACCTACCCATCTAGCTATCTAACTATCTATCTACCTATCTATCTATCTACCTATTTATCTATCTATCTATCTATCTATCCATCTATCTATCTATCTATCTATCTGTCTATTTGTCCACCTATCCATCTAACAATTTATCCATCCATCTTTCCATCTATCCATCTCTCCATCTATCTAGCTATCTATCCATCATCTACCTATCCGTTTACCTATCCATCTATCTATCTACCTATCTACTATCTATTTTTCTATCTACCTATCTGTCTATCTATCTCTGTCTCCATCCATCCATCCATCCATCTATCTATCTATCTAGCTAGCTATCTATATATCTATCTATCTCACAGTCTGTTTGTCGATTGATATATCCAGGTATCGACCTATGGATCTCTATGTTTATATGTAAAACATATCTGCGCATACCTGCACAACCCTATGTACACACAGCTTCGCTTGCGCACATGCAAATTCACATCTGCTCACAGACTTGTGCTCACATGCAGCTATATGCAACTCGCATTCAGACATTGCTTCACATGCCTGCGCATGTTTCCGTGCATGTTTTCAAAGTATATGTGCGCACATGCCACTGATTACTTGCATCTTGTTTGCTACACGCATGCCACAACATGCGCATGATGATATAGAGATACAAAACTGGGACTGTTTCTCACATGATTTTGCGCGCTGAACATCGCTGAGATCTGTGTATATGTATGTGTATGTATATATATATATATATATATCCCCCTGCCAATTTAAGCTACAAAGTTTGTGGCCACAAGCACTATACAGAGGCTTCCATTTTAGTCAGGCTAACCCTGAGATGAAATCCAGGTCCAAGATTTTGTAGTTTAAACTTGTGAATCTCATTTTATAAAGGAATCATTTTAGTCATGTTAGCCCAGCATGAAAATCGCAGTGGCATTTTGTAGCATGACATGATGAGCTTCATGCTGGCTTATCAAAGGGTATATATGTCCTTGTATGATACAGTTGTTGAAAACGAAGGGACATTTTGTAGCTAAGGCTATGTTGGGGAAAAATGGAGCTCAGCATCCTCATTCTATGACCCCAAGCTTGTGAATCTTTTTTATAACATACAGACCAGGGGTCACAACGTCTCACCTGAAATTCGGTGGGGGGTATATATATATATGTTGCCCCTTTTTGTCTGCATGTTCACATCCCATAGACATCGGCCACACCCACAGGCTACAATGTCGTTTGAACATGTGTGGAGTTGCTGAGATGTTTCCGAAAACATTAAAGGTATCAACACACAACTCATTATTTCTACGGCAGGATTAGAAAACCCTCTCGCTTCTCCAGGGTTGGGCCAGAAGGGCCATGAAAATTTAGGATTAGGTTTCCACATGCGCACCCCCAAATTCAGCGGAATCGACGCGCGCATCATGCACGCAAATTAAAACATGCAAGTCTAATTTGTATTGTGTTGAGATCCATGTTCTTACCTGACCCACGCTTGTGACCCTCCACTGTGCTATGCGCAATGTCTGTTGTTTGAATGGCAATACGGTTTAAACTGATATAGGTTAACCCTGGTGAACCCCAACGACGCTTTTCATTTCATTTTAGGACAATTATTTTGGTTTTGAACCCTTTTCATTCAACATTTGCCATGGACGGCTCAAGATTTTGCGCCAAAGCCACCAACCTGTTTTCTGGATACGCCTTCCCTTCGTTCCTTCTTTGCTTTTCGCCGTGTATGGAAGAGCTGGATGCCAGAAATAATTCCACCAAATTGTTGTTCCGTTGTGTCTTTCAAGACTACGCGCGCGTAGGTTGACAAAACAGTAGCCACTGTGAACTTACTTGGTGGGCCTGGTGACCTAGGAGTCGCGCTTGCGCACGGGACTTGTTGGCCATGATTAGCGGGGACAAACCAGAGGCCTGGGAGCAGTGGCTGGCAGTATTGGACCACATGTGACCCAAAACTAACATAAAGTAAACAACATATGCGCGCATGTGTTTCAAATTGCTATAGATAGTTCTGTTCGTTTTTTGGCGTCACTATTGTTGGGACACCTCCATTTTACGCACACGAGTTTTGGATTTGGAACATGATGAAGCAATGCCGTTCTCTTTGTGGGTGCCAAGAGGGGGTCCCGTATTGGTTTGAAACCCAATTCAAGATATTTATCATAAACATACTACTTCGGGGCACCATCTTGTCAGCATAGCTGCCACAAATGCATTCTTGTTGCTGGCATTGCCTTCGGTTTTGGCAGCGGAGGCGGATGATTATCTGCCCCGGTCCAGCCGGCCGACCATTGACAGAGCATCTAGGACACGGGCTTCATATTTTTAGGTTTGAGCCAACAAACGGGGGCCATAAAGCGATTTTTTTGGAGGTTGTTAAAACAATGTAAGGGAGCCCACGCATCTCATTAATCTATGTATATTTGTATATATATATATATACATATATATGTGTGTGTGTGTATATGTATATAAACACATACTGTAATACATTACAGTTTTACATTTTTGCTATTGACATACGTTTACAAACGAGATTAGTTAACCTTGATCTGGGGTCGCCTTATCTTCAAACGCCACATTATGTCAATCAACGGTCCATTCGGGTCCCTAACGGCGGCGCTGTCAGTGAAGAGTGTTTATCATGTTCCTTGCATGTGTTTGCTTTCCGTTTACTGTCTGGAAACGGCCCCTGATGAACCTGTAGCCATGAGTTGGTTCGTCATGGATGCGAAATTTACCTTTATGTAATACCTTTATTTTTGTTTATTTTTTTCACAAAAACCTAAGCGCATCATAGCGTGGATGCAATGTTAGGGCCTGTAGCACAATATGGGTGGTATTGAAAGAATCCCCTTCGAACCGCGCAACCACAGCAAAAATCATAAGTTATTGACAAATACATGTACATGCACATATCATGGTGGCCGTGACGTTTGCAGGTTGGGATACTAGAAGGATTTATCTTAAATTACGGCTGTTTGTTTTTTTACCTCAAGGCAGTGTGTAGTGTAAGGCGCCAGAGATTGAGTTTCAGGATCCGTCAGCAGCAGGGTACTTCCAAAATCAATCTGGTTCGAGTTTAAACATCGCGGATGTCTTTGATTTTGGGGGTCTGCGGATTCTGACCATGAAGGTGGCCCTCCAAAATCGACCACAGAATGGAGGCTTGCAGTTGCTGATTCAGATTTAAAAACATATTTGTGGATCGTCTTGGATTGCTCTGCAGAGCAGAATGGCTTGCACAAGAACTAAAAGTTTGGAGAGTTGAAACGCGGAAAAACTACGCGAAACAATGGGCGTGTTCATGCATAATTTGTATATTGACATGAAAAAACCGCGCTGAAGAAGAAGATGGCGAGTCTTAAGCACCTTATCACACTTGTTGGCCATCAGGTTTGGAATTGACTATTGACTTTCGATGCTGGTCAACAAAGATATGGTTCTATGTACATGCACGAAGCGCTGGTCATCCTACCATGCTGCCGTATACAGGTCAAATTCCCACCTCATAGTGCACACCATGTGACCTTCGGACTGCCTGCAGGAATGTGATTGTTGCCCAGCCAGACTTGTTGGGGCGCCCAAGGGACATGAAGGACGCATTGCAAGCGCAGCTTTGGAGTTTAAGTTGCTTGCAACGGGCGGCAAATAGAATGCTTGTTTTTTGTAATAACATACATATGTTATTTTATTGTGGGTACCGTTGGATGCCTGGACCCGCTCACATTGCCATAGTTTGCTGTTTGCGGTTGTTTCGTTGTTGGGATCCAGAAGAGTGAACATTTCCTTTGTATGGCCAAATTTGGAAAAATGTTTTCAAAGGCGGTAAGGTGAATTCATGCCCAGGATGCTTTGTTGAGACAGAGGTACATATACAGTTGGTTTGGGATACATGCGGTTTTAAGAGGAGCCTCGAGTTTCATCGCTGCAGAGGCGCTTCAATATTTTCAGGTTTTGCACCAATGCTGTAAGCAGCACCATGGTGATTGTATTCAAAGTTTTGTTTTTTTCCGTTCCTTTTATCATCGTCTTGGTGTGGCGACTCCCTCCAGATCATGTCCTCTCAGTGAAACAGCCTGGGGTGTTAGGTTTTCTTCTCGTTGTCGCCTTCACAGTATTCCAACGCTTTGTTTCTGGCTGCAGCTAGCTCTCCGGCGGTTCGTGCACAAAACTCATGCAGTAGTAGTTTTGTGGGCGCTGTCCAGGTACAAACCATTCAATAGAGATCCTCCAATTTCTGGGTCGGTGGTTTTGGACAAACTGAAAGTGAACGAGCTGACATGCATAGCTTCAAGACGCCACCGTTAGCAACGTTGGCATGACACAGCATGTTTCGAATGAAAGCTGTGGGTAGTGGAATGGCCGGAGCAAAAGAAACAACAGCGTCCCAAACGAGGCATTTTTGGGTGGTAGATTTGGCAAGCACGGTATGCAAAAAACCTTGCAAGGCAAACAAAATTAAGATCATTGTTTTCGCGAAAACCCCCAGCACAGCCAAGAAAAGTTGCCGCCATGACCGCCATGACCGCAGTGCCATCCCTTCAGTTCGTAACATCGACTGGGCATTATGAGCCTTGGTGCATTTGGCGCAGCAGCACATGGCAGAAAAAGTGATGTCGAACCCATGAAAAATGGGAGGTATAGGAGTGCCAGAGGGATAGAATTCAGATGTTAATGATCAAACCAGTGGGGAGTCAGTTTGCTTAATGTATTTAAGAACCCATGATGGCACATATGATTTTCTGGGGGAATGCTGGGATGTATCAGCTTCACAGCCGTCGAACAGGAATATGCGAGGAATTGTATGCTGACATTTGCGGAAACAGGGAAACATATTTCAATGGCCCAACAAATCAAGCTAATATTTTCCATACGTTATCTTACGCACGCATCCACATGACATCCCGTGCAATCTAAGCAAAAAAAACCTTAGAACGGCCCGGGCAGGTTTTGCACCCTGATGGGCCAATTTGTGGAAATTTCTTCACAACATGCCTCAAGAAATTCTGTGGGCAATGAGCCTTTCATGGGCACCTTTCGGACCCGCTAAATAGTAATAGTATCATATCATTTTAGTAGATGCAAGCCCGCTACCATGCCTTCCTGCTGCTTCCTTGTCATGGTAGCCAGTGCCTAGTGGCCTTGGTATAACACCTGGCAGAGTGAGACTTTGACAAGCGATTAGTTTGATAAGAGGCAACCGAATTATACAGCTGATTGTGTTTGCAACAACTTAAAACAATATATGAATCAATATGATTTCTGCTTTGGGTGGGTTAGTATGGGAAAGGGTTCGTATTCAAAATGGTGACCGACAGCTTCTTGCTCGGAAACCGAAACATAATATCTGAGGGTCGACAGCGGGACCTTGCCAATCCGCACAACACAAAGCGCCAAGCGTAGGAAAGCATGCTGTCGGAGCAGCTGAAGGCTTTGCACGAGACGCTTCTCCAGGAACACACGCACGAGGTGTTTTTGGGGCGTGAAGTGGTTCCAGGGTGAGGATGGGGAATTGCCAACAAAGACCGGGTTTTGGGACCAAGGAAAGCTGGGACAATATTGTCTATGTTACAGCAAGTGATGCATTTTTCCCGGCATATATGCGTGTTTTATTGAAATTCATTTTTGTTTTTATGTAATTATTTATGTTTTTTATTATTCATTTGTTTGTTTCTATTTTTTTGAATGTATATGCAATTATACTTTTTCCCCACCTGCCAAGTGAGGGTCTCTAGATTTTATCAGAGCTGCATGCCGCCCACCTCCGCCTTCATCTCCTCGTCCTCCACTTCCGCCGCCTCGACCTCCTCAACCGCGAGCTCCAGATCTCAGTGGGCACTGCCGGGCCTCAACCGCGAGCGCAAGAGCTCAGTGGGCACTGCCGGACCTCAACCGCGAGCTCTAGATCTCAGTGGGCACTGCCGCATCTCAACCGCGAGCGCCAAATGGAATACATACATACATACATACATACATGTATGTATGTATGTATGTATTTATGTATGTATGTATGTATGTATACATATGATAAAATGCCAAACAGGCTGCCAGATAGAATGCCAATGGAATGACCGAATAGATACGCCAGAAAGTACGCCAGAAAGAATTGAAGCTATATACTGGATGCCTGAATATGTGCCAGGTCGAAAACCAGTTCGTGGGGATCACTCGAAAACATTCTTTTTTGCATGGTACATCCACATTTCGCCGGGGTTTGTCCGATGAATCACTGGCTGATACCGGGGCACGAAGTTCTGCCAGGTTCAACACCTGCGAAATGCAAACTTATTGCTGCTGGGCCTAGTTAGTGAGCCATGGATTGCTGGTCGAGTCACCTGGGATTTAAGCAACAAGTTTCGGGATTTAACGTGGGGTACAACTTTATCAATCTTTCACACATCTGTAGATTAAGCCATGAATTTTCAGTGTATACATAAACAAGTAATCTTTTCCCCCTATTACTAAACATCCCCCAAATATTAAAAACCAGTGTCCATCTCCCAGTTTGGAACATTTCAGGTTGGCCAATTTGACTTTTAATTGATCTCCTTTAGAAAACAATTTAAGAATAAAGCTACCATTTGTAGGTTTTGCCCCCTAAAAATAAAAACTAGTTAACCCCGGGGTGTTTATTATTAGGGTCCGTCCGATTCTTTTTGTTTTTACATTAGGGTTTTTAATTTATTATTAGGGCCCGCTTCGAAAACCCAATATTTTAATTGCATTATATGAAAAAAAAATGATTTTGAAATCGAACAAACTACCGAAAACCAATTTTTGGCAATATTTTAATTGCATTATATGAAAAAAAAATGATTTTGAAATCGAACAAACTACCAGTAGTTTTTATTATTAAGGTTTTATTTTATTAATAGGGTCCGCTTCGAAATCCAATTTTTGGCAATATTTTAATTGCGTTATATAAGGAAGTTTCATTGATATTGAAACCGACCAAACTAGTTTTTTTATTAAGGTTTTAATTTTATTAATAGGGCCCGCTTCGAAATCCAATTTTTCGCAATATTTTAATTGCGTTGCATAAGGAAATTTAATTGATTTTGAAATCGAACAAACTACCAGTAGTTTTTATTATTAAGGTTTTATTTAAATTTATTAATAGGGTTCCCTGATAAGAAATACCACCCTGATTTAAAAAAAAACTACTGGATGTGTTTATTAGTAGGGGGGCGTTTAGTATTAGGGGGAAGGGATTATATATACATATCTACCTGTCTCTCTCTATCTATCTATCTATCTATTTATCTATCTATCTATCTATAAATCTATTTAGTTCAAACTGAAACATGTTTTTTTGGCATAGATGGATCGATAGATAGAGAGTTAGATTAGCAGATACGTAAATAGATAGGTAGACAGATAGGTAGATACATAGATAGAAAAAATAGATAGACAGACAGACAGATAGATAGATGCGTAGTTAGAAAGGTAGATAGGTAGGTGGGTAGGTAGGCAGTTCGCTTTCCAGGAATGGATGGGTTTATCCAAACATGAGGCCTGAGCCAATATATGTATGGCCATGAAATTTTGGAGACATGACAAAGCACAAGATGAAGGAGGGTGTCCGATTTTCCTGCAAAGTTTTTGGGTTATCTCGAAGCAGACACTTGGTATATATATATATGTGTGTGTATATATATATATTTGTACATTATCGATGACTATATATATGATGTGATGAGGAACGGGAGATAAGTATCGGTGTAGATTTCAGGCCTGCGACATGCGATGGCCTGTTCATATTTCAATACCAAAGTGTGGCAAAGTCAATCCGCCAATTGTGCTGGGGGGATGTACCCATATGGGGACGGCAGTGTTTTACATACAGTAGTGACTAGTGATTTGGTTGATATTGCGTCCGGTTACTGGACACTCAATGAAGATGATGTATGATCCTACTTTATATTGTTTGTCTGTTTGATCTATCCTGGGATGCAAGCGGACCGTGGTATGTAGTCAAGGTCCTTCAAGATTTCACCTTGCTGGATCCAAATCCTGATTTTTGTTGCCCATATTTGCATGATCTGATTGACCGTGGATGAAAACCTCAAGCTTTTTAAGCCCCGACAACCATGAAACCTTTGTTTGGCAGTTTCGCCTGCCATCTCCTCGCAGTAAAGTGGAAACTACCCTATGCGCGACATATATATGTTTTATTTACTGATTGATTTATTTGTTTGTTTCTGTTTACATACATAGATGAAACAAAACCACCTCTTTGGTGCAAGCTACCCAAAAGGCATTAAAACGTGAAAACATGGTAAAATACACACCAGATATGGCTGATATCTTTCGGCGCGCAGTCGATACGCTTACGATTTCGCCATGTGCATTTCACCCCGACGTTTTCACGGACAGACGGGCTGGGGTGAGACGAGCCGTTGGTCGCAGAGGCTTCGAGAAGAATTGCTCCGAGCTCATCAGAGCCGCTCGATGCACCAGTATTAGGGGTTTACCGGCGATATATAATTGTTTGCTACAACCAGCCGCAGATTGAATTTCAAGATGCCGAATGGAATTTACATTACACCTATGCATATATATATATATGTATACTTGGAAAGAATTTTGTAAATATAAATATATATATATATATATTCCCTGGGAGTCCAGGACTATTTTTAAAATGACCCATTTGCTTGAACATACCCATTTGCTACTGGTTTCATGCAACTTGCAGCATGTTTAGCCTGACAAGTAAGATATGTAGTATCTACATCTATGTGCTATTCAGTTCGCACCCAAAAGTAGCAAATGAAGCAAACCTTCGAAAGTAACTTCTCCATTAGAGGGTTTGTTGATCTTTATTGAGTGAATTCCACCCCCAACACAAACTAGGCAGGTACAGTATAAATCATCATGAATAGTTTGAGGCTTCTGTTTTAGCCTAGTATTCGGAAAAAAATCTAGCAAAGCACTAGAGCAATGTACATAACATCATACAGCAATTTTCTTTTTCACAAGACAACATTATTTTCATCATTCCACTCTAAGACCTTCGTTGCTATTTTCGAGTCAGAGCCCGCTTGCATGGCAGAAGTCAAAATAGCGGTTGTTGCTGCACATGTTACTTTCCGGTTTTTCGATTCTGACCTACCCGAGATCGCCCAAACGGGGCGACTGCAAAATTTGATCCATTAGTTTCATCCCGACAGAAAGAGAGAGAGAGAGAGAGAGACAGAGAGAGAGAAAGAGAGAAATACTATAAGATTATGCAGAAAGTTGCATATTGAATTATCTCATTCGCAGAAGTAATGCCGGTAATCAATTCCAGGAAAAAATCAAAATCACACACCATCTGCATATCATGAATGAAAGTAGTTGTGGGGACCGATCGTTTAGTTTCCGTGTCCCAAAAAGATACCAATTTTTTAAACATGGTGGCTCTCCTGGATTCTATTTTCTTGAACTGATCAAATTGCACACTTGAGAAGCCGCCTTGACCTACCAAAACATCAAATACGATGCTTCTCCCAAAAAAAAAACTGTCAAGCCGAAACCAGGGGTTTCGTTAAATATAATGAAACCCACCTTGTCAATGAATAAAGACAGATCAGGGAACAAAAAACAGGCCCGATGCTACAAAAGGAAGTGGTTTATGGTGGCCCCGGTTCATGTCCATCTCATCCATAGAAAGGATTGGACTGGGTGTGTTTGCTATTATCCATTCTTGGGAACCACATTTAAACATTGCCCAATAAGAAATATCATTTGTTGCATTTAGTTATCTAAGTTCAAGATAGGTGCTTGATATCCAGCTATAAGATAGGTACGCTACGCTTGGTGCGCTTGGTACGGTACGCTTGGTGCGCTTGGTACGCTTGGTACGCTTTGGGTAGGTACGCTTGGTACGCTTAGTAAGGTACGTTTGGTACGCTTAGTAAGGTACCACTGGTACGGTCGGTACGGTTGGTAAGCGCGTACCAAACGTACCTTGCTAAGCGTACCAACCGTACCAACCGTACCAACCGTACCGTACCACATGTACCAACCGTACCGTACCAAGAAAACCAAACCTACCAGCCGTACGTACCAGACATGTTTGGATCTTACTTAAGGCCTCTACCACCTATCTTGAACCTAGCTAAGCATTTAGGGTACTGTTTGCCACTTCCTGATTGGATTTTCCGGAAAATGTATGACAATATGGGGTTTAGATCGAAAACATATATTTTCCAAAAAACACCAATAATCATGTCATTCAAAAATATTAAGTTGAAAAGTGTTTCTCCACGAGCCCTCCAAACCGGAAAGGAACTGTCATTTTATCGTAAACAACCTAGAAAACATATGGTTCTATGTTCCATGTCAGATCATTCACAACCGACCAGTGCCAAAGGAGCAGGGTGCTGATTACGTAATGCTGCCTCATGTTTGCTAACACAATTTTCCTTTGATGGGGCGGTTCTAGCAGCGACAGAAACAAGGAGGAAAAAGGGTGCGGAACTTCATTGGGTTTCCCATGGGGTCCGTCGGCCTGTTGCCACATCAAATCACAGTCAATGGATGCTCAGAATCAACCAAACCTTCAATATTGCCTAAGCCGAAGGCCCACGTTGTCGGATCTTTTCTTAAAGATGTCTTTCTTCCGGATCTGGCTGCCGAAGGTATAAATAAACCTTCAGTTTCCATTGGTTTGAAGCCCTGGTCCTTCTCCCACAACCAATTTTGTCAAAATATGGACACCATCATAGATATGTAACATTCCTGTGGATACCCCCTTTTTAGTTGGTTCAATACCGTCATCATTTGTCATCTTTAAAAATGTTCTTTTTTAGTGGTGTGCGAATCCGTGGTTGACGTGAAAAATCCTTGACCTCATTGCGAAGTGCCACCCCAGGTGGTCACAGTGGTCACTTGCCTCGCTCGGCGAGCGCCGTCCCGGGCGGCCTGTCCCCGGGGAAGGGCAGTGCCGCATCGATGCGGAAGAGCAGGTCGCTGGAGTCTCTGGATGAGAGCCTTGGGAGCATCCATGTGCCTAATGAATGAAAAACAACCAAAAGAATTGGATGATATGGTTCTACAGTCTTACATATAATTTAATTATGATCAGTCATAACTAATGATCCTCAGATGATATTAGAGAGATTGGATGTTAAACATGGTGGTGTAGTGGGATGACTGTGTTTGACAATTGCTAAGCCAGGACTTGGAACCTCCCAGTTTATTTGTATTTGATCAGTTTACTTTGGCGGAACCCCCCCCTCTCCAATAGAAAGTCAACATGGTTTTAGTTGGCCAAAAAAAACAGGTTTGAACCAACAAGAAGGAAGCGTGATGCAACAAAAATCGTTTTTTCCCGACCAAACATGCTGTTTTGACCACCAGCACATCTGATTGAACAAAAACCGTGATGTAACCAACAAACAATTAATTGAAAAGGCATCAAAGCTGGTGATTTCACGAGCCAGATGTTGCGTTGCGTAGAGTTGAGTTGGTCAGAACAATTGAGTGTCCCTGCTAGCCTTCTGTTGGGGTGAGCAATGGCTTCAATGTCTCAAAGTGGAAAGCCATAATCTTCTCTCTACCACTGCCAACAAGCGGAGTCCTTCCTTGTCCGGATCGGCACATCATCGCCTCAAGACAGGGGTTCGACTGCATCTGGACAAAGCAGGATTTGGCCTGTGGCAAGCGTACTTCACCAATGCCTTCAGAGATGTATTCGCGTCCCTGACTGTGTTTATCTCTAGGTTTCCAGCTCCTCCTAGGCAGGTAGCAAAGCTCAAAGTTCAATGATGCCAGCAATCTCGTTTTAAAGGCACTAAGCTCCATCTCTTGCCCTGGTATTCTACATGCGTTCCCCCATTTTCTGGGCATTTTGAAAGTCAAGAGATTTGTCTCCCAGGAAGGTCCCCGATGGCGCTGTGGACAGATGGGCGCATTTGTTCATCAAACTTACGCAGCGGGACCCTCGGCAGAAAATCAGTCCTGTTGGGTGGGAGCAGGCATACACCCAACAAGCATTTGGGCCCATAAATCCATCCCACATTGTGGGATACATTGCCAAAGGTCAAACTGAGCATAGTTACAACTGGTTATAACCAACCCCTAAACCTTGTGAAGCCCCCAAAATAGCTAGAACTGGTTAGAACTCGCTGTCTAACCCTGGGAGTCCCCTGAAATAGTTACAACTAGTTACATCTAACCCCCTAAGTTGCTTTTAATGGTTCGGCGTCAGGCCCATGGTTTTTGCCGGATTGGTTACGCCTGCAGTTTTTGTTGCTTCATATCATGCCATATCCACATTTCTTGGTGTGATTCTATCCGTTTATGTTACTTCAAATTTCAGTCCATGTGTATGTGTTTTTGTCAAACTCCCGTTTTTTGTTTAGCATGTCCTTGCATATTTCCATATACCTCCACTTGTTTGCTGTTGTGAATCTCGTGTGCAGACCCTTGTTACTTTCAGTAAAAGCTGTTGTTTGCAGCAACAGAAGTGTTGTTTTTGTCATTCTTTTATGAGTGTACTTTGGGGGCCGACGCCGACGGTCATAGGTTTCTTTTGACAAATTATAATGGCATCACTGCAACGTCACTGCACGTGATAGTTTGTAGGGAGAATCATCTCCAAATGGCTCAACTTTTCTGGTTGGAGAAATATGATCATGTATCGAGAGTCGAGACTAGCAATACGGGATTGAATCCTCTATTTACCAGCCATTTCCCAAACGAACCTAGTTTGAACATTCTTGGCTGGACATTTTCATGCTCAGTTTAACCAATCCGTTCATTGACGTTGTAGTTGGTTGTTTGTCCCATTGTATCCCCACTTTATATCATTTTAGCACCTTTAAAGCTGGATTTGCCGAAGATATTTTCATTTTCGCAATGGAAAATTCACTACTTGAGAACTTATCGGGATATATATATATCTGTGTGTGTGTGTTCCTTTGGGAGGCTTCGCAAGTCCAAGTAGATGGTGCGAAAGTCCTTTGAATTCTTACATCTTTTTACCTCCTGAACCGCGCTTAAGCGTCAGCCACCAGGAGTACGATTCTTCGGCGGTGTCCACTGTTAGCGAAGATGGCGACGGGAGCCAGAACCTGGTGATGCGTGCCTTGGTGCTGCTGGTGGTCCCGGGAGTCCTGTGGTGAAGCGAACATGTACCTTCCGGTCATCAACGAAAATTGAAGCATGAGGAAATAAAGGGAGAGTGCAGGATTTGTTTGTGGTCTTAACGGAATATTGATGAAGGGCGTACATATAATAAGATATATTACTGCTTAATTATATATATATATAAACTCTTGTGCGCGTGCTTGATGAATGTCGATAGTAACATGCCATGTATCTTATGATGTGTATGGTTGATGGAACATGCCGTTTTATCATTCATGGTCAAGTCACCATTTTTCATTGATCTGCATATATGCTATTGGTTCACCAAAAACCCCAGCAAGCCTGATTAGATCTCCAACCATAGATTTCTTATATGCATCTGATTCTATATCGGTGCCATTAATTAAATCCACTGTTAATCCACCATCGCCCACCCATTCTGCGAATTGACATCGATGGATGGATGGCCCTTGCGACATGCCAATGTGTCTCGCACGTGGGATCATATTCATCCGGTTGTGGCGGTCGTGGTCCCCAGGACACGTTTCTGGTTGTTTATCATGACGGTACCCTTGGGCATAGTGATGTCGAACTATAAAACGGGAGGATCTGGATTGATGGTGGGGAAATTGCGGATATTTTCGAATTAATCGGCATTAGCGGGGTGGACCATACAAAAAAAGGTTCATACATAGTTTGACCATCCTGAGAGTGGTTGTGTAACCAGATCCTTACCGCCAATGAATGTTAAGTAACCCCAAGAAGGGAAACCAAGATTCATAGATCCAATAGTAAACCAATGTTTTCAGATGTTATTTTAATGGAGGGGGAGGGATTATGAACTTTCAAGATGGAAGATGTAGGTTAGACATGATGGGTGGTTGATGGATGGTTGGTTGTTGGGGCCTATTACCCAGCTTTGGGCAAGCACACAGTGTTTTGGGGAAAAATGCAACACATATTGCGATCGCTGAAGTGCTCGTTTCCCAGGTACCTCCTGGGCGATACCGTGGGAAAAGGCCATGCGCACCCTGGTCAGCCGAAAATGGCAAGGCTGCAATCATACTACGGGGATATCTCAGCCAGCATAGGGGATATGATAAAGATTTAACATAATATGGCCATGGAAAGTCACCATTACATATATGTATATTGAGATAGGTGTATATATATATACACATATAATATATATACATATTCAATATATGTATAATATATATATATATATATTAGATATATGTATAATACATTTATATTTATAAGTTTAATAGACGTATAATATATGTATATATTATTTAAATGTATAATACATTTATATATGTCCCTATTCATTAGATGTATAATATATACAATATGTAATATATATATAATATGTATAATATATATATAGTTGTAAGTATATATGTATATTATTAAATAGATGTGTAATATATAAATATTTAATAAATAGATGTATTTTAAATATATATATATATGTATATTAAATATATGTATGGTTTTATATAAATAAAATATATGTATAATTTATATCAATATATTTACATATATATACGTGTATTAAGTATGTATATTATGTATAATTTATGTTTAATATCCATATATATATACAAAAAATATAAGTATAATATTTTTACATATAGTAAATATATGTATAATATAAATATATACATAAATTACATACATGAATAATATCTTTATAAATATTTTAAATATATGTAATTTATATATATATATATATTAAATGTATGTAATATATACATATATATAGTTGTAAATATATGTATAATATATTTATATGTCTTCAATATATGTAGAATATATGTATATACTTATATAATTCTTCAATATATGTATAATATATGAATTATATATAATATGTAAAATATAGACAACATGTATTTTTTAATATATGTATAATATATTAAAATATTTATTATATACATATTTATATTTATATATTAAATATATTTGTGTGTGTATGTATATGTATATAATGGTAAACCATCTGCAAACATATCCATCAAAATAATAACTAAATCATCTGCAAACATGCTTTTGTACAAATATGCAATGGGTAAATCATCTATAAGCAACCTGCAAACGAAACATATTCCATAGCTGTGGTAAGTTACGAGAGAAACCATTGACACATGTGTAATTTTCGGTTTTTTTTTCCGTAGTTGTGGTTAAATCCGAATCGATCTCGATGTATGGAACCTCTAAATGATCCAAAAGAAGAACAGGTCCAACGCTGAACAACAATTCTTTGTGTTCCTTCTTGCGGGGAAGGGATTCATGATTACACGTCGCCTGTTTTGTGAAGTCCGTGCTATTTCTATTGCCCTGTTGGATTCTGATCCCAATGAGTGAAGACTGTTCGCAATCCACCCCCTGTGGATGTGAAGCGGTTGGTGTCCATCTCTCGGTTTGCATAGGCCTTGTATCAAGCTTTGGTGATGCATCACAAGTGGAAGTTTGACGGACCCCCTTATTGAAAGCCTCTCTAGGCAGAGGCGACTGCTAGTACTGAAAGCGGTTCAGTACTGGGTCAGGGCCTGTTCGTTTTTCACTTATAGCCACCTACAGATCCTACAGTATAGATATACCTACCATCAAGCATATTTCGTCATAGTTAACCAAAGTTTGCCATGCTTAATTTTCTTGGAACCACCTTAAAACCTATCATTGGGCCCCCTTTTTTCGAGCTCCCAAGGAATTCACCACGGCCGCAAGATCCGCGTGTCTCGCTCCGAGCAGTTGACCTCTGTGACTTGGGCTATGCGGACCAAGAAGGGCAGTGAGGGTATCTGCGACGCTTTCCCCATAGACATGTTATAGTATTGATCATATATATATATATATATAGACATATACAAATATAACGTCAAAAATATGGTGTAATACTATAGTTTTATGAATACTACCTCAGAGTTGATATATATATATATATATGTATATGTATATTTATTTAATTACTTGAAAACTATGGTATTAAGAATAAATAGTAGTATGCTGTATTCATAAGGTATTTTCTAATGAAACTCTATATGATCTGTTAGTAATAATGCAGCATAGCAAGTAAGAACTCTCAATTAACTAAAAACTTTGAAATATGAAACGCTAAGTTCTAAGAGTTGTTATTGTTTACGATGACTATCGTATACTATAGCAACTACGTCTACTACTATGAGGCCGGAGTAAACCCATTGGCTAACTATTTACCATAGATATTTTCAGCGGTGACTATCGCAATTATATGGATAGAAAAACCATTACGAGCATATGGGCAATACGACAGTAACTATAGGGGCTATGGGACTGACTGTCAGTAACAGTAACTATAGTCACTGGAAAACTGATAAATGATCAACTTGATTGCTTTACCCCCCAAGAACCATCTGTTTTGCGACAGGGCATCGCCAAGAATCCCAGCCCGAGGCGATGCATATGAAGGACAGGGTGAAAGATGACTCATTCCTCCAGCGCTTTGTCTTCGGACCGTACAGTGCCGTGGATATTATTGTGTCGGGACTGGCGTTGGTGGGGATGTGGACGCGTGGAAAGTCAAAGCACATATGGGTTTCAGATCAGTTCTTCTAACAAATTAATCGAGATTGATTATTTACGTGCATTTAAAGCAGGGTAGGGTGATATCCTGAGTTTTCCATCTGCTGCAGTGTTTTATCAAACCTGTAGCTCATTGCAATAATTAGAATGACCCAAACAGATTCAATCACGCAGCATGATGTTTCAGTTGAAAACAAAGGTTTCCCGCCAGTTTTCCCAAAGGTAGGCCCCCGAAAAAGCATTGAGCAAAATGCATTGCTATGGATCACTGGCCCATGTTACACCTTGATTTGCCACTGTCCCAAATCTTAAGCCACTGAGTAGTGTTTTTCGATGAGTATTTCGAGCCACCCCCAGTCATTTGAAAGCAATTTCATCCAGTTCTTCATTTCGATTCAAAGATGGACCAACAAATATAGATAGAAGGGGGAATCACTTGAAAAGGCCCTTGTTTTATTATACTAAACCATTGGCAGATACCTAGGTCAATCTTGGACGGGTAGTTGCTAAATCCTTTAGTCTTTTGGTATCAAAGGGATTATCTACGTTCACCAGCTAAGAATTTATTTTTTTGCAGGGTATCTAAGAGTGGCCATGAAATACACCCTATAATTGACATTAATTGAGGGAATAACTAGAAATATACCTCAATATTCATCACAGGGATGGGTCAAAACCTACTGAACTATTGTGAAACGATTGACAGATACCAAGACCCTCGACCCTCGCGTTTTTGGCGAGGTTTGTTCCCACTGCTGTGGTCGGTGATCGGCTGCGGCTTGATCCTGTGGGACCTTGCGACTCGGTAGCGATTGGGTTTTCGTGTTGTCTGACACCTAGGGGCACTTCACTCACTTCCAAAGGATTAATGTGGGTAAAACAATGCCATAAATCACCCCATGTTTGATGGTTTAAACCACCCATTTATGAATTGGCATTTACCCTCTGGTAAACTAATATAGCTATGGAAAACCACCATCTTTAAAGGTAAATCAACTATTTCTATGGGCCAATTTGAATAGCTATGGTAAATTACCAGAGGGTAGTTTTATTTTTCACTTCCGCAAGTCTGATGTATATAATGATGTACCCCATGTTTTGTGACAATTCCAGATGTGTTGTAACAGATTATGATATATTAGAATTAGACGTATCTATGCGATTCTGTGTGTACGTTCATGTTGGCAGTTTTACTTGCATTCACATGCATTAAACATATACTTCAACACTCAACATGGTTTTTGGTTAATGATGTGAAATCAGTTAAAATCAACTCTTTGATATGATGAGTACAGTATTTACATACCGTACATGCTGGGAACAGCTGTCACAGCTGCACATGGCCAATAGCAGTTCATGGCCATGAGGGACCCGCCATGACCTAGCCAAATGTACCGGAGACGGGCAATGGACGGACGACAAGTTGAATGAATCATTTTCTGACATCTGTCTTCTTCAACGGTTTTAAGGCAGCTGAGGGAAAAGTTGCCAACTCGGCTTTTGCATGCGGTCCAGAAAACTAGCCATTTAACATCACTTATAACTACTTACTTGTGGCGAGGACATCTTAGTGTAAGAAGCGGTGGGCTATCTACCGGAGAGCAGAGCATACATCATCCGTTACAAGCGACCTTTGTGTTTCTGTACTTTTCAAGGACTCGTCACACCGGCTCTTCACAGTGCGCTCATTGTTTGCTGTTCTTAAGCTTCACATCCACTGGATATATTCTCATAAGTCCTTTTCCAGCCGCTTCCAGCCTGGCCACTACCTGAAAAATGGCCAACGGCGAAAAGTTTGCTGTGGGGCCATTTTGTTTGTTTTGTTCCATCCTCATTTTTCTCTGTCATAACTTCGACCCCCCCAAAAAAACTTGTAGACTAATGAATGCATTTTTTTCCAATAAATGTTGGTTATTTGATTGTTTCTTCAAACAGTTGAATAGTCTTCCCTTAGCAGTTGGAGCATTCCCAGTTCATCCCAGGCATCCCAGGCAAGGACAAGAGACAGCATGGGGAGCCCTTGGAACATCTTGGAAAGAAAAATCCCTGGTTGGTGGTTTGGAACATTTTTTCCATTCAGTTGAGAATGTCATCATCCCAACTGACGAACTCATATTTTTCAGAGGGGTAGGTCAACCACCAACCAGAATCTGCTTAGCTCTGAATCGCGGGATGTTCTGTTCACATCGATGATCTCAGGTCACGATTCCTTTGGAAATGCGACTTGCTGCAGTCGCATTTGGGGGTGTGGAAGGTCCACAAAAATTTGACCCTGGTGGAAAAAGCTCGGGGTTGCCACTTGGGATGGGATGAGTCTTGTGATGGTGTTGTCTTTATCTTTGGGCAACATGTAAGGTGGATTTCAACAAGAAGGGGGTGGGATTATATACTTGGAGATTGTCCTACCTAGCCATCATGGTTGTTGGAACCTTGTGTTTTTGTGGTGGAAATGTGCATTTGGTATGAAATGCCAACCTGGTTTCGAACCCGCAATTCGGCATGGACGTGTAGCTTGGCAACAAAAGGACGAATCATGGAATAACTGGCTGGGAAAAGACCAACAATACGGTCTGCCAGCAGCATGCCACCCCAGAATCTCCAGTGATTTTCTGTGGCCGCAGGCTGAACTGTCAATTTATTTGGGTCAAAAAACAAATGACGCCAATTGAAACTAATTTTAGGAATATGCTCCCTGGAACACTTGAAGCGGGAACCATTTCTTTGCCTGCCACCTTTCTGGTTTCAAATCTGTGGCGGGATTGCACGGATCTCCAGCAGTGTTAACGGTCAATGAATAGATTTCAGAGCTGAGGTAGGATCTTTATGGATGCATGCAGGGGCTGCGGGGGGTACACCGACCATTTCCAGGCAGACCCATATCCTGATGAATTGCGAATTTAAAACACAAAGCAAAACACCAGATTGGCAAATCACAATCCAACTATGGCCTATAATCCAACCCGACCACTACTGATGAAGAGTGATCCTGACTGTTCGCAGAGATTTTTTGAGTTTGGTTTTGAAAACATGCGGAAAACCATGGCCCAACCTGAGGTTTGACAACATCCCGGACTTCATTGCATCTTGGCTCGACAAAGGAAGTACATATGTACAGTAGATGTAGCTACCCAGGGCCTCATGAACCCTTTAAAAGAAAGAGTTTAGCCTAACATCGCATTTTTTGCAATGCTGAGTGGTACTTTGAAGGTCCTTGTGGCATGATCAAGGTATTTGTGGGTGCTTGTAGGCGTTTTGAAGTGAACTGTGCTTACATAGTCTCCCAGCTCCTTCTACCAAAAATCGGGAACCCAAGACCCGGCTGAACCTATTTCCATGTTTCTGAGCTTAGCTCAGTTTGGCTTGGTCTAACTCGCTGAAACTTGGAAATTTGCACTATGGGCCGTGGCTGAAAGCACCGTGCTAACCTCAGCACATCTGACCACGTAGTTAATATCTTCCCATCCCTTTCCCTCCCCCCACAAAAAATCCTCAATTAAAATCTAGTTACTTACTAGGATAACCGAGGTTGGGCCAGCCATCTAAAATCCTTGGGCTAGTGCCCACTGGCTATAGCCGGCTAAGAATTTAAGCCAGGCAAATCTTGAAGCCCCTGGGGGTAAGGACAAAGAAATCAGCAGGGTGACATGGGAAGACAACAAGTTTGAAATCATTTGCTAGCATGATGCATATAAGGAGCTAGTGCCCCTGAACTTTAGCCAATACAAGCTTTTCTGTAGGCATCGTTTTTATTTTGGAAGATTTTAAAGAAGCAGGAAGTGGCTGCATCATATTTGGATGATTACTTCATCACAAATTGAAACCAAAGCAAACAATTTTCTTCAAAGGTTGCCTCTCTATTGGATTTGGACAAATTTCCATGTCCTGACCCAACATGATCCCTAGCCATGCCTTCAAGAGGTTTATCAAGGGACCAACCTCCCCACCCTCCCCACCAGAATACCTACAGGGTATGTTTACTGTTTTTTTTGTACCGACCAAAGGCATATTACCTACGAGTACCCCAGGAAATTTAGCCATGGACCCTCCCTCGCACATTTTTTAGAACCACCACCGACCTGTTTTTCTAGTTGAAAGATTCATCGGTGTTGATGGTTTTTTCTAAGCCAGGGATGTGCCACCTGGGCTTTGCTAAATTTCCTTGTGCCGACGAAATATATGACCCGCCAGTCCCCCAGGAAATTTAGCCACGGACCACTCCCGCACTTTTGAGAACCAACACCGGCTTGGTGGCAAGTCGGGTTGTTTTTACCTTTGCTTGCATCCTCTGCAACTGGACTGCCCCAAGCGGTTGTGCTGGGCAAACAAAAAATCACCACACCCGATTCGCTCCGATCACTTTGGTGAATTGAGCGCACAGATGAACATTGCAAAGATGGCATACAAAAAAAAAACAGCACTTGCCAGATGTTTCTTTTCTCACGTGCAAGATTTCCAGGAATCATTTGAGCAGTTTTGACCATGGATGACTGTAGGGAACTTTACTATATACCCAATATATATAGGGGCTGATGATAGCCCATGAATCACTGCCCATTCGGTATAATGGAATGGCAGACGACTTGGAACCCGGCTCATCAGTGTTTTTTCAGGGTTCTTGTTTGTTGATCTGTTTGCATGTTTTTCGCTGAACCTAAGCCCCAAGAAATTTAGCTCGGCAAGTAGCGACATTGCTGACTTAAAATGGGTTTAGCTAAATTTTGGGGCATTAGCCCCAGAGGGGCTAGTGCCACGGGATTTAGCCTGGGAATAAAGCCCATGAACCTCGCCCTCATAGAGATTTAGCTGGCTAAATTCTGGGAACTACCCCCCCATGTAATACAACCGGGGTTTTAGAATCTAACTGATTTGCACATCCATTCTTGGGATCCCATAGTGGATGTGTCAATATGGGAATACGGGGGATGGGACTAGAAGTCACAACCCTCAGGGTAGGCCTGGCTGGTCAAAAAACTGACAGCCGAGGCCTTCCTACAAGCAATGGGAAAAGTCACCTTTGCCTTTTGGTTGCTGGACCCGAAGCTGTCGAGATTTTCCGGCGGCCATCAACTAATGGTTGCAACGGTTTGGCTGGGGGTTTAAAGTCTTGTTGTGGTTGCCGCATCGTTTATTTTCGTTAACCTCTTGGATTGTTCGAGAATCCTGGGATTCCACCGGTCCAAACCACCTGCCAACCCCTGGAAGGCCGTCTCACCTGGATGGATAGTCTTGTAGCCGTGAACTTTTGCATTTTATAGATAGATAGATTATATTTTCGATAGATGTGCATGTTTACACGCATATATATATATATATACTGACTTATATATATATATATATATTGCATACATATAGATTTATCAACATTTTAAAATAGGTAGATACATAGGTAGACAGATGGTTTCTTTTTCGCAATGAGGTATCAATGAATAGACACAATCAACTCCCATCAACAGTTGTAAACTTTTCGCATGGGGAATAGGCAACCTCTGCTGAGGGGGCGACCAATCCTGATCACGCCATCACTTAGATGTGCATTCCAGCTGGTAAGTTGTTAATTTATGCTGAGTTCACCCTGTTGTACAAGGGATATACCGTGGTGATACGTGATAAAAAGATCGTGATTGAGTGTTATGAACCATTACTCATGATTATTCACGAGTCATATCGCCATGTCTGTTGGTTAATGAAACCGGTGACGCTCCAGCAGTGCAAACGATTCCCTGGGCAGGATATGCCTCTGAACGTCCTGGTGGGTGTGGAGGTGGGGATGAGTGTCAAAGTTTCTTGCGCATGTTTTCTGCATGTAATGTAAACATGTATAGATATGGATTGGATGGGACGGGATTCGATGGGATGGGATCTTGATGTCATGTGATGCGATTCACTGCAGTGTCATGTCATGTCACGTGAGGCACGGCGATGTGATGACATGTATACAATGTAAGTGGATGTAATGTAACCTAGGTATGCATATCATACATATAATACATCGATTTTTTTTTTTGGCATCTACTGTTTTTATTGGTGGGTGTGTGTGTGTGTTTTGCAAGGCCCGCGCAGCACGGAAAATCGCACAGTGCCGCGAGGTCAATGGCAAAGTGGAGCTGAGACCCGCTATCCTCGCTTGCCGCTACTTCAGGCGTGATATGGGGCGATCTTCCTGGCGCAAAGAAATTGGATTTGACAATGATCTTTGAATGGAGATGCATAGTGGGGGAGTGGGGTATGCCTTTAGCTTGGTAGTTGTGATTCATTCATTTCTTCTGGGCCTGAAATGGATGATTGACTACTTGGTTGTCTTAACAGGATTTGCACGATGGGTTCGTTTGATAATTCTGGAACTAAAAAACATGGTGAAATAATTTCTTGCCGCAATTATCAAATGGCTATGAATTTGTGTCCCCCAATTTCAGACAGAGATATATATATATAGATAGATATAGCATATATGTATTCAAGTATTCATATTGTTGGTTGTATATTCCAATACTTTCAAATTTATTTCGTTATATCCCAGTCATGTTCTTGGTTATAATATCCAGGTCTTCATGTTTGGATCCGATCCCAAAGCCAAACCATGGTCACTATATCCTATTAATACCATCTTGAAATTGTCAATATTGCATATCTCATGTTCGGCCCATGTCATACAACTATCAAAAGTCAGTGGGTAAGCTGTCCAATTGTTTTTCCCAACAGATGTTTTACTCACAGTCAAATGAAAAATACTTGATCTTCTCCATTAAGTTCGTTTAAATGGTAATGGACTACCTGTTGATAGCAACACCCAAAAAGATTGAAAAGTTGGAAGACGGTAAAATCTGGAGGAATCATCATCTATAGCCATCCCATCCTGGAAAAGCTGTTCCATCTTATATACGCGTGACCATCGAGAAGTTTGTTCAGTCATACACATGTCTAAATAGACATACACAATGAGCAGAAAAAAAAGTATATTGCAATATGTTTTTAGATTTAGCATTCAATTACTGTAAGTAAACAAACACTGTTCAACCATTCAAAGTCACATGAATCCCATTTAATCATAGTTACAGTGGGTACTTGCTATTCAAACGATTAGCAGTTACGATTTAACATCTTCACGCGCAGTTCACATTGCCAGGTTGGTTCGGTTTAGTACACACAGTTGGTAACCTTTTATTAGGTTGCTCATAATCCCATATGGCCCATCTGTTTGCCCACATGGGATCTCTATCCCAGCTGCTATGCCAATTTGAACTTCATGCTCACGGAAAAAATATATATATATGTGTGTGTGTGTGTGCGTGCTTTTACCCAAAACCTCCCAGTGTCCCATTTACCCATGATCATAATAACTAGAATTGTTCATAGGCCCATTTTAAGACAATTATTTTTTTAATGGTCATCAAGGTTACTCCTCTTGTTTTCCATAGATTGGATGATTCGGAAAAGAGATTAAATGATGGTTCCCAACAACGATAATCTTATTCGAAATCATCATCGTGTAATGCCATGCTGGGATCCCACCATTTCCCGTTGACAATCGGATTCATTAATGACAATTAAGTTGACAACCCCATTCATCCCATGGTGATTGCAGCATTCTTCGCCAGGACTTGGTTCATCCTGGACCTGCTGGTGGTTTCTCTGGACGCGGTGCTCATCTCGTTGCTTGGGAGGGGAGTTTTTGCCCTTTTTTCTTTGGGAAACCTGGGGGACTGTGCAATAAAAAGTAGGGATGTTGGATGGCTAGGAGTTTGATGATCAGAAAATATCAACAAACCTGATATAAACAATGACGATTTCGCCAGTAAGCGGGCGTTAAGCAACAGAAATCTAACCGTCCAAATGAGAAAATTTGGGGAAACCAGCTGGATTGATAGAAATTGAATGATCAAGCATGTGGTTAACCAACAAGAATGGAGAAATAACCATCAAACCTTGGGGAAAACCAATTGGATGGGTACTTCATACATCAAATGTTGCAGTAAATCGGAATACGTACTCACCTGCTGACATAGTATTTTTTGTCGGGTATCTAAGATTGGCCATGTCTTGAGAACTAGTAATTAATTAATGGGTATAAAAGCAAAACATATTTTGGGGAAACAACAACGAGAAATAAATAGATGCATACGTGTTTGGCTGGGCCATCAGCTCGCCCTCAGCCTTAGCTGAACCTTCGGGATGGCAATGGAGAGAGAGAGAGAGATGAGATGAGATGAGATGAGATGAGGTGAGGTGAGATGAGATGAGATGAGATGAGATGAGAGAGAGAGAGATACGTAGATACATGGATACATAGATAGATGGATAGATAGATAGATAGGTAGATAGGTAGATAGATAGATGGATAGATAGATAAGAGTCATCCTACAAATCGTAAGCAGGTGATAGAGTTTGTGATATAAACAGGGTAGGTAAAGTGAAATGATTTACTTCCTAAGCGTGCATGAAATGCCAAGTAGTAGCAATGTTTGGCCATATTTTGCCGAGATGATCCGTGAGAGTTCGCATAGAAATCTTATGATGACTCCATACTTGCAATGGGCATAGACGGCTCATGAGGTGGAAACACACAATGATCTGATGATTAACCTGCCAGTCACTTTCAACTGGCGCATCAGAAATTATCCAGATAGTATTGTTGAGTTGATTGAGTTCCACAACTCCGCTATTTAAATCATGTTGTTTGAGCCGATTTGGGCCTGAGAAGATGCTAGCCCACGGACAGGTGTGGAAAATGAAGCCCAGTCGGCCTACAGCATTTGTTGAGCACCCCAATCGGAAGATGGATATTGGGAACTTAAGTCGCAGCCCTTGAATATAAGCAGCCGTGTGTGATGATGAACATATGTCCAAACATGGCGTTCGGGGTTATGTTTGACCTTCAGCTACTGGGGTGTCACACAGGAAAACTGCCAGGAAAACTCAATGAAGGATAGCTGGAAACCCTATATTGTGGCAACTTTATTGTACGCAACTGTCTTGGAGAATACACATGGCAGTGTCTCTCCCAAGTTGCATGGCCCAATTCCGGATTCAGTCAGCCTAGGTTAGTTTCATGACATACGCATTTTAGGCCAGAGACTGAGGGTATCATATCTCAAGTCAAAATTGTTTGTTTTGAAAGTGGGTGAAAGTGGGTGAAAGTGGGTTCTATAGACTAGGATTCAAGATACATTGAGTATGATGAAACCATGATTTGCTTCGCCACCTTTTAGTTCCCCATGCCAGCTGACCACAGGTTGGAAGCGCTGCTGGGGGATCAAGGTGCTGAGGCCTGTGGGATAGCAGGGTACATCTTGGTTGAGTATCCTCGAGTTAGCATGGCCATTTTGTTCGCTGTTTTACCTATTAAACATGGTGATGTTCCATAGTTATGTTTGTTTGCAAGAGGGTACTTGGATGTGCAACTCTTTTTAAACCCATACATCACCGGGGTATGATATGGTTATTAAATACATACTTACTTGCTGGGATGCACCCCAAGTACGTGATTTGTTTTATATATGCATATATTTTTTTAAGTTTGGGGAAATGTGCTAAGCGACCAAAATGTATAATGTAGTAATATGTACTACTGTAGTACTTTGGTGTATTTTTTGGGGTGCGCAGGGCATCAAAAAGAAAAAAAGTGACCATGTTAGCTGGGGTATGGGCATCCTTGGCTGCACTTTGTCCACATTAATCCAGCCTGCGTGTGGGTTACAAATTTGATATTGATCGTTGATCCGCATGTTGGTGGCCGTATCATCAATGTTTGTTGCTAGACATCATTCTTAGAATTTTCAACCTCAGGGCGACCAAACCCTATGAATATCGAGGCTAGCACGAGGAACCAAGACAAAATGGGCCACCTGTAGCATTTGGCAACAGAGACCTCGTCAATGGATGTGTCAGCGTACCACAGCCACTTTTGCTGTTCATGTTTAGTGCGCTTCAGGACTCAGGACCGTTCAGGACCGTTCAGCCTGCCTTTTGACCTGCACCACGTTGATCATTTTGCTGATGAGGGCACGATTTTCAAGCTCCAAGAAGCAAAGCCGTGAGAGGTTGAGCTTTGCTTCAGCACCATACCTTAGCCTTTTGAACTGAATTTTGAAAAAGATGTGCAGGAATGACCTGGGGCAAACGGGCATGGTCTGGTAAGGCAAGTTTTCACACCGCAAAAAACATCTATGTTTGTAGAATAGGCGAACCCCAAAAAGTGTCCTTATGAAAAAATAGAAAAATACAATACCTGGTGGGTCATATATGATTCGAATTATAACATGTTATTTCATGTTGTTTCTCCATGATATCCGTATGATATCACCAGCTTTCCATATTTTCCCAGTTAAGAAACCAACAGTTTCGACGTGACCAGTGGTCGCTTCCGTCGCTTCCGCCAGGCGGGTCTGAAGTCCGCGCGCTTCCTCCGCACCCTTCGGATGTTGCGCCTGGTGCGTTTGGCGCGGGTGGCCAAACTGCAGCAGGCGGTGAAGGGATCGGGAGATTTTTGGGGCTGGTGAATAGGGTATATGATGACTAGGCTATTTATGATGATATGGGATATGAAAATCTATATGTATATAATCTATATCAATATACCAATATATCAATATCAATATACATATATTATATATCAGATATTTATTTATTCCCCACCTGCCAGGTGAGGGTTGTTAGATTTTATGTCAGTTGCCTCCTCCTTCTCCTCCTCCTTCTCCTCCTCCTGCTCCTCCTCCTCCTGCCTCCTCCTCCTCTCCTCCTCCTCGTCCTCCTCGTCGTCCTCGTCGTCCTCGTCGTCCTCGTCGTCCTTGCTCAACTGCGACCCGCGATCCACAGTGTTCTCTGCCGGACCTCAACCACGACCATCCACGCCCAGTGTTCCCTGCCGGACCTCAACCACGACCATCCACGCCCAGTGTTCCCTGCCGGACCTCAACCACGACCATCCCACGCCCAGTGTTCCCTGCCGGACCTCAACCACGACCATCCACGCCCAGTGTTCCCTGCCGGACCTCAACCGCGAGTATCCACGCCAAGTGTTCCCTGCCGGACCTCATGTAGGAAGATATGGGACAAAGAATGTGCAGAAGAAAGTAGAAAGAATGTAGAAAGAATGTCAGAAGATATGCCAGAAGATATGCCAGATAGAATGCCAGATTAGAAGATATGCCAGAAGAATGCCAGATAGAATGCCAGAAGATTTGCCAGATAGAATGCCAGATAATATGCCAGAAGATATGCCAGATAGATATGTCAGAAGATATGCCAGAAGATATGCCAGAAGATATGCCAGAAGATATGTCAGAATATATGCCAGAAGATATGTCAGATAGAATGCCAGAAGATATGTCAGAATATATGCCAGAAGATATGCCAGATAGAATGCCAGAAGATATGTCAGATAGAGTGCCAGAAGATATGCCAGATAGAATGCCAGAAGATTTGCCAGATAGAATGCTAGAAGATATGCCAGAAGATATGCCAGATCATATGCCAGAAGATATGCCAGATAGAATGTCAAATAGAATGTCAGAAGATATGTCAGATAGAATGCCAGAAGATTTGCCAGTAAGAAAATGTATAAATGTCATGGTGGGGATCACACGAAGTAAAGTAATTTATTTATTTATGTGTTATGTTATAGGTGATTGTTCCCCACCTGCCAGGTGAGGGTTGTTAGATTTTATCAGAGCGCTCTTCCTCCGCGTCCTCGTCCTCCCCCTCGTCCTCCTGCTCCTCTTCCTCCTCGACTAGCTGTCCTCTTCCTCCTCGTCCTCCTCCTCGCCTCCTCCTCCAGTTTCTCCTCGACCATGCCTGCATCAACTTCCACCTGCACTTCCGCCTTGCCAACTCTTCGCCCAGCTCTTTGCCAACTCTCTTCGCCAAGCTCTTTGCCAACTTCCCAGCTCAGTGTGCACCGCTGGACCTCAACCTGGGACCTTCCCAGCTCAGTGTGCACCGCTGGGCCTCAACCTGGGACCTTCCCAGCTCAGTGTGCACCGCTGGACCTCAACCTGGGACATGCCCAGCTCAGTGTGCACCGCTGGACCTCAACGGCCAGATACAATGCCAGATAGAATGTCAGATAGAATGCCAGAAAATATGCCAGATAAAATGCCATAAGATATGCCAGATAGAATGCCAGAAGATATACCAGATAGAATGCCAGAAGATATGCCAGATAGAATGCCAGAAGGTATGCCAGGTAGAATGCCAGATAAAATGTCAGATAGAATGCCAGAAGATATGCCAGATAGAATACCAGAAGATTTGCCAGATAATATGCCAGAAGATATGCCAGATAGAATGCCAGATAGAATGCCAGAAGATATGTCAGAATATTTGCCAGAACATATGCCAGAAGATATGCCAGATAGAATGTCAGAAGGTATGCCAGATAAAGTGCCAGAATGTTTGCCAGAACATATGCCAGAAGATTTGCCAGATAGAATGCCAGATAGAATGTCAGAAGATATGCCAGAAGATATGCCAGATAGAATGCCAGAAGATATGCCAGATAGAATGCCAGATAGAATGCCAGAAGATATGCCAGAACATATGCCAGAAGATATGCCAGATAGAATGCCAGATAGAATGCCAGAAGATATGTCAAATAGAATGCCAGAAGATTTGCCAGTAAGAAAATATATAAATGTCATGGTGGGGATCACACGAAGTAAAGTATTTTTATATACGTATATATATATATATAGATATAATGATATTTGTTCTTTATCTCATAATGGTATATCATGACATTCATGGCGAGTACCATATCCCATATCATTTTAATCATGGTGAATATGGGGTAATATGGAAGGTATATCCTCATGATCTATGGTTGTAGTCTATGGAGTAATGTGGGATATGATAATCTGGGATCATTTCGGATAATATCGGACAAACTCAGGCTGAATATGGCGGAATCTAGGGCAACGACATTAACTGAAGGTTTTCAAAATGTTCGAACAATAATATCAGTTAACTTGACCCAACCAAAGTGATTGCATCAAGTGACCAATCAGCAAGGCCATGTATCAACTGTGTGTGTGATGCGTTTCCACCAGCAGGGGTCATCAACCAGTCAGCCAGTCATCAACATATGTCTAACAACCATAGGATGTAAGCTGACTGTTTTCGAACTACTCGGGAATCAAAATGAGCACAGGGATTTCAAACCATACAGACGCAGGGATGGAGCAAAATTTGGCTAATCTGACTGGAGGAAAATGAGAGGTTCGCGTCATTCGCATCTGTTGATTTTGGATATAGTCATCAGAAAAAAAAGGCCCTTGGGACCTTTATTAACCCAATCAATCATCACACAAACTCACACTGCGGAACACCTGTGGGTTTGATCCATCTTGGACATAAACAGGTGAGGGTTGTTAGATTTTATCAGAGTTGTTCTCCTTCTTCTCCTTCTCCTTCTCCTTGTCCTCCCCCTTCTCCTCCTTCTCCTCCACCACCTCTGCATCCACTTCCAGGTCCACTTCTGCCACTTCCATGTCCACTTCCGCCTTGCCAACTCTTCGCCAAGCTCTTCGCCAACTTCCGCACGCAGTGGGCACTGCTGGACCTCAACTGCAAGGGTCTGAGCGCAGTGGGCACCGCTGGAACTCAACCTGGGACCTGCCGAGTTGAGTGAGCACCGCTGGACCTCAACCTGGGACCTTCCGAGCTCAGTGAGCACCGCTGGACCTCAACCTGGGACCTTCCGAGCTCAGTGAGCACCGCTGGACCTCAACGGCCAGAGAGAATGCCAGAAGATATGCCAGATAAAATGCCAGAAGATATGCCAGATAGAATGTCAGAAGATATGCCAGATAGAACGCCAGATAGAATGTCAGAAGGTATGCCAGATAAAGTGCCAGAATGTTTGCCAGAACATATGCCAGAAGATTTGCCAGATAGAATGCCAGATAGAATGTCAGAAGATATGCCAGAAGATATGCCAGATAGAGTGCCAGAAGATATGCCAGAACATATTGCAGAAGATATGGCAGGTAGAATGCCAGAAGATATGCCAGATAGAATGCCAGAAGATATGCCAGATAGAATGCCAGAAGATATGCCAGATAAAATGCCAGAAGATATGTCAGATAGAATGCCAGAAGATTTGCCAGTAACAAAACGTATAGATGTCATGGTGGGGATAACTCGAAGTAAAGTAATTCATGTTTTTTTCGCTTCGCGCAGCAACGGGGCGGAGCATTGCGCCAGGAGTTCACCTTGTTGGCAAACCGTTTCCTATCTTCCAATGCCTTTCTTGTGGCCAAGATCTTGGGAGGCGTTGACAACAGGGGTCGTTGGGTGGGAGACCCTCAGGCGTCGTTGGCCTACCATGACCCATAAATTATATGGTAAGATGGGGTATATACATAATTGGAACTACGGATTTCTGAGGTGGTCGGATTTCTAGACCCCTACAACTGCAACGTATATGGGTTTGTCTGAAAATAATTGATCACCATATTCCATTCGTTTAAAACATCTCATGTTACCCAATTAGTTATGGCCATCTTCATTTATCTCCCATGTTTAGACACATCCACATGGTTTATCCTGAAGAACATGGTCGACTATCAGATGAAACCGCGCGAACATCGTTTTTTGGGGTCCTTTTGGCATGGTCTCAAAGTTAGACTTGCTGCTTGCCACCATAGAACTGGCTGATGATTATCATTTAACAGCCTAAGTGAGGGTAGAATGTGCATCCCACTTCGCCAGTGATTTATCATGTTTTTTCAAATAAACCACAAATAAATGAGCTAATCCATCACACAACTGGTTTATTATTATATATATACATATGTTACATATGCATACAATTAGTTACCTACTTACTACGAAACTAGGATGCACCCCACTGCGTGTCTCCATGTTTGCGGCCTCAGGTCTTCTGATGATTTTAGCCATTACTCACCTGGTGGCATGTTGCTGGTTTGGCGTGGCTGCATGGACCGCTGGGGTTGCAGTAGACATGGCAATTTTTACGGGTCCATAGTCCATATCTCTGTTTGGAGGATCTGTACAGATTTCTTGGAAATATGGGCTCGGTTTTGAGATGACAAGTATGTTTCTTCATTTTTCAGTTTGGTTTCGGATGCCTTTCAGGATCTTACAGACTCTTACCAAATCACAAAGCAGGCAACATCTACCGTCAAGCGGTCAGGTATTGATGTACATTAGAGCTGGACTTTCGTTGAGAATTTATATTCTCATTTTCGCCAGGGTCGGGGAAGGTTTTCACAGGAGATGTGCATGTGTTGTCTAAGCCTGCCGAAGGGCTCAAATCGTGTCAAGCGATGTTCGGGATACATTAAACATCGGCAGCTGCCTGGGTGTTTGCTTTAAGTCGCCAAAGATTGGTCGATGTTCATGGCTGGTTTGGAGCCCAGTTAATGAATTCCTGGAAGAAATGTCCCTTCACGAGGGGTTCCACCCTCTGGTAAACAAACGTAACTATGGAAAATCACAATTTTTGATGGGTAAATCAACTATCAATGGCCATTTTCAATAGCTATGTTAGCTTACCAGAGGGTAATCGAATTAAAACCCGAACCATCTATGTTGTTCACTTCGTCCACTTTGGATGCCAATGTCACCCAGGAGATTCGCAACAGAGCCCAGTACCAGTAGTAAAGTGGGGTGACGTCATCCGCAGTGGGCAGTCAGTAGGGGGTTGTCTCTCCTCCACTTCCCACTCCAGTTTTTTTAATGTTTTTTTGGGGTAGGCCAACTCCACAACAAAAAAACAAATCAATTGATCCTGCAATTGGGTTTTTACCCGTTAATAAAAACACGAAACATTCCCAAAAGGTACATTAATGGTACTATAGGTCTACTATGGCGTTTCCCACATGTTTCCTACATAGATATTCATGTTTTGCCTCAGGAAAGAACCTAAAAATGTTCCGCGCGCAGGACACATCAGGCCTCCAGTTGGCTCATCCGAGCAGAGCTGGAAGAGGCGTGGCCCCGGTGGCGGACCTTGGTGGTGAAATTGCCATGGAATTTCCGCAGCAAACTCATGGGTGTGCGTGTATGTGTCTGAAAATGGGATATACCTTCTAAATATCCATAAAAAATAGGGAACAGATAATTAATTATTTATTTAGCATCAAAATTGGGTGGTCCCCTATTTCCAGAGAAACCGATCATGAAGGTACCCCTTTTTAAATGTGATGATATATCATGGTTTATCATCATTTTCCGGATGAAGAGTGCCATCAAAATCGGGGCGCCCGTTTTGATACCCCGATGGCCTTCGGTGAGATTTGAGTACTTCATGGGCAAATATGGTTTCTAATCAGGCACTTGGGGGTGCAGTTCCATTAATTTTTGTTGGTTATCACTCACCATAGTTTTAGGATTATAGGGGTCCCATATTCCAACTTATGGACGTTATGATCCCATAGTTACATACCCTCCAAAACACATATAGTTAAATCGTCCTTTTTATCTATAATGGACCATTTGTTGACACTCAATAGTTGCCATAGTTATTCAATGGCCATTTCAGGAACCTAAATTGGAGGTACCTACCATATATAAGGCCTATTGTTCAGGGCTATGTAAGGGAATATCCCCGCAAAATATGGCCAGAAATATGGTACGTTTACGTACCTCCATTTTAGGATCCTGGAATTCCCATTGACCATGTGTTCACCCCCTGGCCTGCACCTGATCCTCGCCAGGCAAATTTCTTCGAATCCTACGCTGCTTCCATTCACTGGTCCATGACCCAGTTCACGCCTGCCACCACCAACATTGCTCCGGCCAACGGCATCGAAAGGCGAAACACACACCTTTCGGGTGAAAAGACTGGAAAAGGGATGGTTTACGTTTACTGGTTTCTTTTCTTTGTTTCTGTTGGTGTTTGTACGCCAAGGCGTTTTGGCATCATGTTGCGAAAAAATACACAACATGTTCAACATATGATCATGTCTGAGAAGTCCGTTTAGACAGTCAAACATTCCAGTTCCAACTCAACATCCACACAAAACAGAGTCTTGAGTCTTGTCAAAAGTAACCTTTAAGTCAATTTATGACCATCCCTTCTACCAGGTATTTCATTTCCTTATCCAGCATTGCTTGCTTGCATCTAGTGCGCTTGTTTGCTCAGGTTGCTTACATTCAAGTTCACCATGTATATCCCGGTGTGGCTGTTGTGAGCGCCAAATCTGATAAATTTGAACACGCATCGTTTGAAATATCTTAAGATCATGAAGGATATAGACATCGCTCCGTTTTTTCTGGTCCGTTGACACGCTGCTTTTTTAATTCCCAGAAGCTGGTTGCCCTTGCAGTGCCAAGAACTCAAAGAAGAAGAACCTTTTACTGGCAACCCCGGAGAAAAAGCGGCGATGTTTCTAGTAACGAAACGCTAGCCATCGAAAATGCATTATATAGATTGTTGGTGTTTGTCAGTTTTTGTCCTCGACAGAGAGTGTTGATGGAATCACCAGTGTATTGGGCAAACCATTTTTTAAATATGTTTCAACCGTCGCCGTGTTCTTCCTGGCAGCCGGGCATCACCAATCCACACCATCTCCGACCCGAGAAGCACGGAGGCTCTTTGCCGTGTGTGTCATCCTCTTAGCCATCGGCGTCTTCTCGTCCTTCATCACATCCTTGAGTGCCACAGTGAGTTCCCTCCGGCGGCTGGGCGTGGTACATCATGGTACCCTCCATGGTTAACCGGGGGGTTATTCATCTTGGGTGGCAGATATGATATATCATACTTTTTCAAATAAGACAACTCACAACAGGGTGGCGCCACCTTGGTGGCGCCACCTTGTAGAGGGATTCGGCCATGTTCATTGAATTGAAATTTAAGATTGGATAAACAGTTGGATTCAACCAACCAAAAAGGCGTATTACCAGCAAAGTGTTGAATTATATAACCAACTTAGAATTGGGATGTATCAGAATGACCACTTGACACGGACGTGTCCAAAAAGGGTACTGATCAGCGTTCTATTGTGTTCTCCATGCTATGCTGACGGCCACGCCATGTTGTGGCTTCGCAGCTCTGCATCGATTATTTCGAGGGGCTGCTAGCAATGCGCGGAGGCATCGGAGCAGGAAATCTTCCACAACTCATCTCCACAACTGGTTGGTGGTTTGGAACATTTGGATTATTTTCCATATATTGGGAATAATCATCCCAAGTGACTAATATTTTTCAGAGGGGTAGGTATACCACCAATCAGAAAGTGATGGAGAATTGGAAGGGCTGAAGGAGACTGCTCAATGCTCCGTGGTGGAGCCCAGCAGGATGCTCGCCAAGCGAAGGTCGGGCACGGCATCGAGCACTCGAGCACTGTACTCGGGCATTTCGAAGGAGCCAAGCAGCAGGTGGTACATTTCAAAATCTACATGTTGCACGACCGATTCGATTCAATGTTTGCAGAGGCTGTCATCTTTGCTGGGAAACAAATCCCATTGCCTCCAGTCAGACATGGTTTATTTTTTTCAAGATGTTTAATTAATTTGCTGGTTGGTGGTTTCAAACATTTTTTCCGTAATATATTGGATAATCCTTCCCATTGACTAATATTTTTCAAGATGGTTATATTCACCAACCAGATTAACATTAATTAACGATATTCTTTGCGCAGCTCCAAATCTCTACTTACCGTATCTCACCCCCATCCAAAAGCCTGAGCATGGGTTGCGTGGCTCTTTCCGAACATGCTATCCATGCAATCCCCCATCTTTCAGCATCTGAAAGACTTGCCCAATTTAGAAAACACCCAATCTAGTGCAATTTCAGTAAGGAAACTGAATGAACATTATTTGAGGGATCAACCTCCAGCCTAGTTGCGGTTGACTGCCACCATCAATTTCTCCTTACCCGCATCCAAAAGCCTATTCCGCTTATACCATTGAAAACGAACATGGACACCCTAAAAGCGCAGCTCCATGTTTAAAAGAAAATCGATGACGTTGAACCAGAGCCTTTTACAAGATCCACCTTTGTCAACAGGATAGCTGGTTGGTGGTTTCAAACATTTGTGTTTTTCCATAATATATGGGATAATCATGGATAATCCTTCCCATTGACGAGGGACTCATATTTTTCAAGATGGTTATTGCACCACCAACCAGTGACTGCATCAAACCAACCAACTTCCCAGGAATTCAAGGGCGGAACGTTTTCAGCAGCAGTCTGCCCTGCTGCAGTTTTTCACCGAAAGGACCCCCGTTGGGAAACGGGCCGGGCCCGTTTCGTGCTGGTTATGGCGAAGGGGCACCTCAAAAAAATGGTTCTTCCAAAGACGTGTGCTGTGTTGAAAATATGAAAACTGCTTGGTGGTTTGGAACATTTGGATTATTCTCCATATATTGGGAATAATGATCCCAACTGCCTAACATTTTTCAGAGGGGTTGAAACCACCAATTAGATCCAATTAGAAAGTTTTCAAAATTTTGATTGTTGCAAACCAATACACATCATGTAAATGTCAATGTACATAATCATTGTATAAAGGCATTTGTTCCAACATATCCAAAAGTGGCGGGTGATGGTGAGTGTTCATTCCAAATTAGCTGCCAGGTGTTAAAAAATGATTTAGGATGCCTCTGCGGTTGCAAGCTTCCATTCGGCTTGACGGTTTGTCTCTTATCCTCCCACTGAATGTCGAATCCAATCCAATGTTCATCACTACCTGCCAGAGGCATCATGACATCGTGTTACAAGTGTTTGGTCAATACTGTAGTTGTAGTTCTATTTGAATTGATGAGGGGCACAGTTCAGCGTTTTTTCGCCCTCTGGAGCTTTGTCTTGAGGTTATCGCAGATCGTCAAGTTGAGGAGTGCAATGGAGGATATCCCACTTAGAAGAGATCGATTTTCAGGAATCTCCCTTTCGGAATGTCTGTAAGATTCACAGAGATTAGCCATGCCTCCGTCCAACTTTGCGAACGCATTGTTATTGGTACCCCATTTCGACCGGACGCCAGGAATTTGTCGACGGATCTGTACTGCAAGGTGACCGAAGCCTTACGTCGCCGCAACGTCAAGAAACGCATCAAAGAAGGTCGCGTCGCGGCGGGGTGGTCCTGCAATGAGAATAAACCGAGGGGTAAACCCCATTCAGCAACCATCCCATTCAGCAACACCGGGAGTCATTTTGGTATACCCAATTTCATGTTGACATTCTTTTGAAATTTCTATTGGGGATGGTTTATTAGATTATCATTGGGTTTGCCACATTATCCTAGTTGGGGGGGATTGTGCACCTGCATAGTTGGTGTTTAGACTATGGTCTCAAGCAGTTGCACTTTTTTTGGTCTTGACCTCATAGGGCAAATCCATTTTAGCTGATCATATAGTAGGCTTTAATTCTGTGCCGTATGGTAGGGTGCCTTTTCGTTGGCATTTGTTGGCTACATCTCATTTATTTTTTGGGTGGTTTGTCATCTATCCCTTCTGTTTCGTTTCACTGCTCGTTGTTTCAGTTGTTGCATAGCCGGCTAAAAGATCCATGCGTTTGCCACAATGATGGGAAACTAGTTGCAGCGCTCAGATTTTGAAGGGTATGAATGGCTTAAGGACCTTCAAGACACATCAACTGGATCTGAAATGAACACTACATATTTAAGATTATTTAAGTATAACTATAACCATTTAATATTGAAAATCGGTCCAATTGGAAAAAATATTGGGACCCAATTTGAACCCCAGTTTTAGGACATGTCCATTCGACCCAGTGAACAGCTTCACCAAAGCAAGCACCTTCCAGGTGATGTTCAGCTGCTTGGTGCGTTGCCGGAAAGGATGACGCTTAGATTCGAAGAGGTTAGAAATTCATGGTGGATATTGTGTTTCCTATCAAAATTGGATTTCAGTTGGTAGTAATTACCCAGAACGGAGCCCGAGAACATCCCATAGATATTGCGAAAATCTTCGAACAATTCATCTCAAAGATCCCTGATGAACTACGATTCAGCACGACCTTCTCAAGACTCCCATGACCGTGGTGGCTCATGACGGCTCATTTTTCTGGGAAACCAGCCCGAGATGGGCGTCGGCTTTCAGATTTTGGCGCCCATCCCCCTAACACTAAACAGCCCCTAATTGTTTAAATGGTCCCAACCATGTGTAGATGAATAAATCAATCCTCTACATCCACCATGGTTTATGGGTGGTGTTGAATATTAGATATTTGGCAGGGAAAAATTGGATTTTGACCCCCTGAAATTGGACAAGTACTAAAGGTGTGGAATGGCTGGACATGGAGACCAGCCGGCAAAGGGTCTAGCATGGTAGAGCGATGCATTTTAGACCCCTGCACCTGTCTCATTTTAGACCCCTTGACTTTCTATGGATATCATCGTACGTATGGATATCATATGTTTGATTATATTTGTACGTAGTTGCTGATTGTAGATTTTACTTGTATATTTGTTAGTGGCAGTGGTAGGGACTGTTGTGAGTTCATGTGGCAAAAAATATCAATCACAAAGTTTCAGAGACCCTGTTGGGCCATATGGGCCCCTAAAAATTGGGAAGGTATAGTGGTACCAACATGGAAGCGCAAAGTGCTCCCAAAAATATAACACTAACATAAAATCTAAAAGGCCCTCCGGCCCTCCGCTGACATAAAGAGTCAGAGACTCTAATTTTCTCCTAAAATTGTATGATACACTCACTGCAAGTTGAAAAGATATCCCCGTGAGGGTCTGAAATAGTATTGCCCTTCAATTTCAAGAAATTTTCCCCACCTAGGCCCCAAGAAAACCAAATTAGACCCCTGCAGCTTGGGAACCCCCCATGATCTATGGAAGACTTCAAATTTGACACTTACTCACAGCCAATGCATAGTGCTCCCAAAATAGAAGCGCATAGTGGTAATAAGATGGAAGCGCATAGTTGAAGATTACAGATGTTGTTTGCAAAATCTCGTCAAAAGTCAAAAGTATTCAAATTTGAGCCCCACAAAAAAAAGGTTTTGGCCAAATCTGAAGATTTTTTGTATGTTTGTTTAATATCTATCAATTCCAAACTTGTTCATACGTATTCATACGTTGTATCTTGATAGTTCCAAATGTGTCCAACGAGAACCCCTAGGTGTTAGGTGAGATCATCCCAACAAAGCACCCCTTCGACATAGGTGATATCCTGGTTGGTGGTTTGGAACATGGATTTTACGACTTTCCATTCAGTTGGGAATTTCATCATCCCAACTGACGATCTCATATTTTTCAGAGGGTTGAAACCACCAACCAGTCACTCTTGGTGATAAGGGATTCAAACCATCCCCAATGCTGGGGGTAGCATCTCCTGTATACGCTCTCTGTGATCTCTTGAGAAGTACCTGGCTACATTTCATGGCTTACCACCTAACCGCTGAAAGAAACTCATCCAAGATCACTACTTAGAATGGGATAAAACGTGTATATATATTTATATATATATGTTAATATATGGCTATGTGCGTATATGTTTTGATTTATACTTTATACCTATACAAATAACTCCCTCCGTATAAACACATATATATAAGAATTATAATGAGATTACTGAACACTTCTGGTTAGACCAATTGCGTTATGACTTCTTAAACTTTTTTCGCTCGGGCCGGACTTGGGACCATCTTCCCAGCTCAAAAAAGTTTGACGTTTCCAGGAAGATGCAGCTTCACGAGGAGATGTGGCCTGGAACAATGTGTTTTTTTTCGGACAGCTTTGATGTATGCAAAAAAGGGGACTTACCCTCTGGTACTTGAACATAGCTATTGAAAATCACCATGTTTCATGGGTACATCATTATTGATATCGTATATAAACGGCTGTTTTCCATAGCTATGTTACTTTACCAGGGGGTAACGAAAAAACTATGGTGGTGCTATGGTGGTGCATGAACAATACTCCTTGCAGGTTTTGCATATAGTTCAATATTTTGTCATCTGGTTTGGTTTGACTCCTTGCTGGTGAGGCCGATGTGTGCAATAAACGTAGATGTATCATCTAGAATCTGGATGTGCATTGCTTATTTGCATCCCTTTTTGGAGGCAACCGGTGTTCCCGTAAGGGCCAAAAATGTGCCACTCCAATATGGGATGCTTAAACAAAGAAGACAACCCCTCAAGGATATCAGACCCGCAAGTTTTTTTTCTTTCTGGTCTTGGGATACCGATAAATGGCTGCTTCGTGCACTATACACCTGCCATATCCTGCCATCGTTTTTGTTTTCACGTTCTTCTATACTATTTCTGATCATTGAATTGCTCATGCCCAAAGTTTGTTGATCAAATCCCCACTCGTGCAGTTTTTGTTTGTGGTTACATCACTGTTCCGTTGGCATTTTGAATATGGCACGCCCAACCCCCAGAAGTTTATCACTACGTCGCTATCAGAAGCAAAATAACCATTTAGATCCATTTAGGTCATTTAGGGTATCCCGCATTTTCAGAGAAACCCATGCCCACTATTCGTTGGTTCAGTCCCCACAATCCCCATGTTTCACCGAAAATCATCACCCCATTCAACGCCCCAAATTCAAGGACATCTCAATTATCCCCAACTGTTTCCTGGTCAAAACCAAAAGCAGAACCATCTATTCATTTATCCATTGCTCAAGTCCCAATTCTTTTGACTTATTTTGTTGTTTTGTTACTCGGCTATATCACCTGTTTAGCATAGCTAGGGAAAATCACAATTGTTAATAGATAAATCATCAAACATCATCTATTTCAAAGAGGGCCATGTCTTCCATAGCAACCAGGCGGTACCCCAAAATTATACACTTAAATAGGAGACAACTATAATTTTTGGATTACTAAAATGATGGATCCTATTAAAAAGGACTACTTTGGACTATTTTAGGAAAACAATTTTAAAGTTCCTACGTACTATGGAAATAGGTAAACCATACCTCCGGTCCCATGAGATGGGCCTTGAGGTTCTTGCCCCGCTTGAAGTGTTTGGGCATTTGGCCCGAATGGAGCCTCGAAGAGGACCAAAAAAAACTTGACCCCAATGGTGTAACTTACATTTATAACTGAGATTGCACTATTTGAATTTTGGTATACCAACAGTTTTAATGGATGTTAATGGATGTGACTTGGGTTTTTTCAACCAATTTATGACTAGTTCATGACTTAGCTGGGGATTCAGCTAATCCTAAGTGCTTCATGGTGTGCTGATTTTAGCAGCCAACAAAAAAGGTGACCGAACAACCAACCACTGTCCTTGGGGCTCAACATGGGCTATCGCAACGGGAAGCCACCCCTGGAGTCACCTGCAAGGGGCATGGGTGAATGCAGCAATTTCAATCGATTCTGGTTGGTGGTTTGGAACATTAATTTTATGACTTTCCATTCAGTTGGGAATGTCATCATCCCAACTGACTAATTAATATTTTTCAGAGGGGTAGGTATACCACCAACCAGGATTTCATTGTCATTGATTTACCCAGAATGGGTATGGAGGGTGTTATTTTCTGATTGTCTAGGTTGGGATAGTTTCAAATTGGTAATGTACTCCTCCGATCCCGCAATTGATAACACCCATTACAATATCAATCGGAATGTGTGTGTAGAACCTGGAAAATATGGGACCTTTTGGCATGCACCATACAGTAGATATAAATGGATGTCATGCCATCCCCCAATCTAACGGCTGCAAGTCTGCTGAAAAGAGGGGGGCCTTCAATGGAAATGGCAAAAACCTTATGGAGAAGGCATAGTTTCCACCTGGATTGGTTGAAACCACACAAGTTTGAGACCTTTCCGGAAGCTTTCCAGAAGCAGATTTGTTTGATGCAAAGATGCAGACACCACCTCAGCGCTGCCAATAGATATGGTCTGTATTTAGATGAACCAGACAAAGTACTCATGGAGCTTTGTACCCTTTGTATCCTTTTGCACCTGAAATCTTGGGAAAGCCACATCGAGCATCTTAAAACCAGCAATTTCACCATTGGCATATGGGACTTCTATGGACTCCACGATTTTCCCCACCGGTAATCGAGCCCTGCAGGACGATTACTTCTTTAAAAGCTTGTGTCATTATGCCTTGGCAGAGCATGCTTGTGCCTAAGCGGCCGTTGTTTCAACGGCGTAATCCACAGTGCCAGTTGTGTGGGGAATGATGAAACCACCATGCTTTCATTGGGATAGTTTGAAGGACATGTTGCAGGAAACCACGATTTTCAAGACAAAATACACAGATTGTTTGCAGCTGTTCCCTTCGTTCAGTTCTGTGCTTCACTTCGTTTCCTCAGTTCTAAATGGCTTCTCACTGGTTGTTGTGATGCACATCCAAGTGCTTGGGAATCTGTGTGGACGATGGATAGGCAAAAAGAGATTACGACAGATTACATTCCAATCATTCCAAGGGATATCTAGAACATATCTGAGTTGATTGGGATGTTTTAATATGTTAATTCATGTCATTTGGGCAGTGGCAATTTATCCCACATGATGTGTTGTTGATTTTGGAATTCCCCTGCTTTTTGGGGCCTTTGTCAGTATGGATGTGCGGAATTCCGAGTGACGGGGGATACGTCCGCAGAAATGACCCTGTCAGTTGGCATTGTCGCCATGTGCCAGCGGCACTTTGGATCACTTTTTCGTTGGTTGAACCCACACAGGCTATGGTTAAATTCTTTTTTTTCAGGCAATGTTCTCGATTTTATGGTCCATTTACGTAAATTATGAGAGGGATAAGCATGCGATGTTTTTGGGGCTCTTTGCTGGTCGACTCCCAAGAGTAGTTTATATAATCCCAGACTTAGTTGAAGGGAGTTGAAGGGAAAACAAATCATCAGACCTGTGATTTTTGGTAACCCCAGTTTCCATGTGTTTCCATGATTACCCTCTGGTAATTTAACATAGCTATTGAAAATGGCCATAGAAATAGTGGATTTATCTATCAATTAACAATGGTGATTTTCCACAGTTTTTTGTATGTTTACCAGAGGGTATATTCCCATTTCACATGGCCCATTTCACATTCCCGCTGCTTTCCTGAAATCTTGAGGCGCTCCGGGACAAGATGCCTTCATGCCAGGTCGCGGTAACTGGGAGATGTACCCGTTTTATTGGTCCGTGTGTAGATTCTGAAGTGGGCGCCAATGTTCTTTCAAGAAACCAGGTAAACAATGGTAAACAATGGCTCCAATGTTCTTTTAAACCTTGGTTTTTGTCGGGTATTGTAGGGTTGGACACAATATATAATTATTTTGGTGGTTGTATCATCCGCATTTTTACATCCCCATTTTATCATATTACAGTAAATTTTGTCGTTTTACATTACATCATTCCCATTTTTTGATGGCTACATCATACCCCATAGGATCCATGGTGCTGGTATATATGCTACCATAAAGGGGGTATATTGATGGGATCCATGTTACCATATATAGCAGCACCATGGATCCTATGGGTACTAAATTACATCCCCATGATGTTTTTATCCACCGCAAGTTGCGACCGTCGACCGCCTTCCTGCAACAGGAACGGACTGCAATCAGGTGTACATCATCGAATCTGGATCCATGGGTTCCCTTGGCGGACGTATTTCTGGTTGGAGGATCATCCCAGTTAGTACATGGTTAACAACCCTGGTTACCAAGTACCTTAAGTAGACTATCCTATTTATAAGTGGCTCACAACCCCATTTACTATCCACTTCAGACCTTTCGTATGCACAGTGTTTTTCTGCTGGATGAAAACAATGGAAATACCACATTTGGACATGGGGATATCAAATGATAAGAATCCCGAATGGAAATACAACATTTGGATCTAAAATGGGAATGAACATACCATTTGGATCCATTTGGATACAATGGAAATACCGTTTGGGTGCATTTGAGATAGGGATCTAAGACCCGGGAAAATTCAACCTGGGCAACTTGAATGATCCATCGTGGTGGTCCACGGAGGCGGGGATGAGCGAAAAACCCGTGGTTTCAACTGCAAGAAAACAGGGACGGTTCAAAACGAAAAATGAATAAAAATGGGGCAGTCTGGGCCTACGGATAAGGATTATATATATATATATATGTGTGTGTGCGCGTGTGTATGTATATACCGTGTATACATATATTTAACATTATAAATATATATATATACGGTATATATATATATATATACGGTGTATATATATATATATACGGTATTTACACGCACACACACACATATTTATATATATATACACATACATACACACACGGTATATAAATAAATAAATATATATATATATATATATATCTAGCCCATGTATATGATACTGGCGTGTTGCTGTAATTGCTGCAAGGCAGGCATCCAATTTTTGTTTGGGTTTGTGCACCTCAGTGCTACTCATTCTGATCGAATCTGTGGCGGGGAGGAGGTTGCCAGTGGAAGAATAGGCCAATTGGCCAAATTTAATCATGGTAGTGGCTTAGACATGGGAAAATGATGCTGGTTTCAAGAAGATCTTCAGAATGATTCTGACAAACTGTTTTTTAATGGTAGTTTCGGAATGGTTGATGCCTCCAGTCAGTTCATTTTATGAAGGCGGCTTCTCAGCGGGCATCAGTTCATGTTGTCTGAAATTGCCTGAATTTCCCGCCGAGACCTTTCAGGTTATCTGTCCAGACAAAGCGTCTCTCAGATTCTTGGCGGTATCGAGGTGCGTTTATCCTTCAGGATTGGTTTAAGGAATGTCTTTGATTGCACACCCTTGAAAAACAACATGGAACCAAAAAAGGAGCCGGAAGGTGATGTTCCTATATCGGATATGTTCATGCAAGCACTGAGATTCCAAAGATGCGGGGCCTCACAGGTGCTGGTTGTCCAATGTTGAAGCCCTGGAAGGCCAAGTGGCCAAGCTAATGCACCATGCCCACTGACACACCATTTATGTTTGTTTATGCAGATTTATGCAGCTATTCAGAATTATGATAAAATCTGCAGTATTTGAAAAGCGTTATTGAGAAGTATGTAAGCAATGTAAGCTGATAAAGCGTTATATAGTCTTCTACACGTAAGTTTAAGTTTAACTGATAAACAACATATAAAAACTGACAAGTTGATTATGGCCAGACAATTTCACAACAATTTTCGCGATCCTTCCCTGGCTTCGCCTTGGATTATCCTCACCATCCTATGCCCAAGATTCAAAAAAAACAAAACAATCGGTGTTTATTCGGTGTTTACCAAATGTTGGACAATGTTGGATAGTGTGAGTATAGCCTAGCCGTATAACCTGATTTTTCGGATAGAAACGAAATAGAAACGAACACCATGGAAAATGGCCATGGCCCATTTATAGTTGATTTACCTATTAATAGCATGGTGATGTTCCATGGCAAACTGTTAAATAACCAGATGGTAATATATAATGTCATTATACTTCATTTGTTGTGGTTGGTCCAATTCTCCAGTCCACCTAGGTCGCTTTGCGGCGAAGATGAAGTGATTTGTATGGCCAGTCTGTGGGCTGCCTGGTACCATCGCGGAAGCCCCTTGGTGGAGCGTGCCATGGCGTGCCATGATTCGTGAAGCTTGGAGGAACTTTCAATGGATAAATGACTAATTAGTGGTTAGTGTTTGTGGTGTTACAAGCTATTTATAGATGGGATCATCATGGATAATCTACTAAATGATCTGAATGATCTGAATTGGGACTTAGTATACCACTTACGGTGGGATGATCCTCCAAGAACGTCTTGGGTTATCCATACAATGTTTTAAAGATACCCAGGTGTATGTATTTATTGTTTTGATATCCAATGATTCTGATTGGTGATCAGGGTTGGGCTACATATTCAATCATCCTAAATGTTGATTGGTACCTACAATAATTTCTATTAAGCCAAAAGTGAACCAAACCACATCCATGATGGTCAACCTTTAGGTCAGGCATGAGATTTGGCTAAAAAAGATCCACATGACTGGCGACAGCTTAAAACGATACAGTCATATCAAAGTTGTCCCTGGTTAGAAAAAACACTGGAAATTGAAAATACTTTCATATACTTTCCCAGAACATCCGGCTCGTGTTCTCCATGGATTACAGGTGTGGCTATGGGTCAAATCCTTGACACCCTGTAGTTCACATCAAAATCCATGGGAAATGGAGGTCTAGCCGCACCCACAAGCCTCCAAAACTGCCAATCCCACGGCACGTTTTTGGCCCCAAAAAGCACCCCAAGGGCTGACCGCTTCCCATGGCACCTGTTTCTACGTGGGGATCAATTGCGAAGAGTTCGGACGGTTGGCCAGTAGCCATGGAGGCTGGGTTTGTTCGTCGATGATTTACGACATTTTCCCAATAGGAAATCCACTACGACTGGGGAATCTATAGGAATGGGGATTTTGTTGTTAAAGCTCCTCAATCCCAAATCTGGTGACCCCGCTGTGTCTCCTTGATCTGTGACTGGAGATTCATGTGTGGGAGTGAGATCTAGGTCTCTTGTGGGATTGGGGAAATGCAATGATTGAGGAATACCTTGAAGAAACTCCGTGGAAGATGGAGAAGACCTGCATTGATGTCATATGATATCTGACATCCAACGGTTGGTAGTTTGGAACATGAGTTTTATGACTGAATATCGGGAATAATCATCCCAACTGACTTTCATATATTTTTCAGAGGGGTAGGTATACCGTTACCACCAACCAGTAATAACCAGTATATATCTGATATCGATACTTGTGAATCCCACATGTCCATACTATATGCCAACAGAAATCCCCCACCACTTGGTCAGTTCAAATTACACAGGTCCAACGTGGTCCAACTCATCATTTTTGCTGTGAATCCTCATCGTTTCCCCCTGCAAACCAAGTGAACGTAAACATCCCGATGATACAAGTATTGTAAATCCCTGCAAAGCCAACATATTCTCTTATAGGCACAGAATTTGGCGCATATATACATATATACATATTTAAAATATGTGTATATATATATATTATAATTTACAATATACATACATAATTACATGTATGTATGTATATATATATATACATATTGAAATAGATAGATGGATAGATAGAGAGAGAGAGAGAGATACATATATATATATATAGGTATGCATTTCCCCCCTGTCTCTCCTAGCTTTTTGGAATTTCAGCGGTGATCTTTCACCCCGAAATCTTTTCGTTGGCCAGGACCCTTGTGGCAATATCTGCAGGTCTTCGGAATGTTGTTAGTTGGAACTGTGGAGGTCCTCGAAGACCACGGTACCTCGGCTGACCTCGGTGGATGTGCTGTGCTGCCGTGCTGTCACCGGTCATTTAACACTTGGGGATCACGAAGTTGGAAAGCATACCCTCTGGGAATGACTAAGCGTTTGCTATTGAAAATTGTCTTTTCTAGTGGATTTGCCCATTGAAAATGGTGATTGTCCATAGTTTTTTTGTATGTTTACCATTGGGTAACCAATATAACTAGGCCTTATGGGGGATATTGATATATCGAACCAGCTAGTGGGGTGAACATAAACTAACTTGAAACATCTTGAAACTTAAAACGCCACCTAGTACCACTCTCCCAACAAACATAGACCCTGCCAGACAGGGGGCTGGAAGATTACTTTCCTCTGAAATAGGTGTTTAGTTGCGGTATATGTCAATTGGTCGGGTCGTATGATGAAAAAATGACGCAGAAACGCAACTCCAAACTGTCGCACGGGACACTCGCAGAACTTGTGGAGATGTTGACAATTTTTCACTAGTTTCATCGACCATTTTTTCACAACCACACGGGGCCGTCTCAATCTGAATAGTCTCAATAGTCTCAGGGCAATGTATTCCTCAAACCACATGGGTAGTAGATTTTGAGAAGTATGCCCGCCCATCATCTAACAGCTGGTAGGGCATCCCGAAAATTTACATCTTGTCTGATGGGAATTCATCCCAGAAATGCGAGGTTGAAGAATAGCGCGTGTAGCGACGCATGACATTTCAAAAAAACCGCCCATGTTCAAACAGCTGGAAATGGTTTTGCAACTAACTTCACCGCTGCCAACCACGTAGGTGTTTTGTTTCCGCCGGACTTTTGGAACATGATCTGAACCCATCTGGGATAACCTGGGTGAATTCAGCGGATTTCAGCACATCCACACAAATTACAATTAAGGGGAAGACTCCGAAATCATCTTTCCTTTCAGATTGGTGAAAGACAATTCAGCGTCATTTATTCCACATTCCCAAGGCGAAGACTTGTCGGACCTGTCATTGCCTGTATCTTGTCGGAAGGGGCCAGACCGTGGGAATGTGGGGGCCAGATCATGAACCTCACAGTGTTCGCAATGGACTGGTGGCCCCTTCACTCAACGAGATGTTGATTCTTGTCAGAGTTTTCGGCACTGTCTACGTGCTTGTTTGTAAAGTTCGTGGTCAATTTGTCTTGCAGCAAATGAGAGGACAATGGATTGCTGGCCACTGGAAAAAATCCAGCGGCCAGCAATTCAAGATGGGAAAGGGAGTCTTCCAACCCGTCTTTTTTGGCGGCTGATCTCAAAAAAACGTGATCCAATGTCCTTCTTTTTCGACGGGGAACGAAGGTAAAATGAACGATTAGCTAGGTTCGAATGAGAAAAAGATGAACATCTGTACAAGGTGGCCCCCCCATAGCTAAGTTGGTTTATAACTTTGTTAACTAGGGTGAATGTAGTAATAATGTATACAACGGTGTTTATAAACCAATTTATTGTTCACTTCTTTATTTCACTGGCATCCCATTTTGCAGGTCCCAGCTGTGAATTTCCCTTGTGAATTTCAATCCCAGATGGAGAAATTGTCCCACCTGGGAAATCGCGCGCAGCACTTGGTGAGGAAGGCCGGTTTTTTTTGCATGCAGCGCTTGGTCACTAAGAACACAGCCAGGTTGCAAAAATTGGACATCAATGGAAAATCTTCAAGGGTTTGTCTCCAAACAGAGGGGTGCAACCCAAAAGCTCCATGGTTTCTCAATGCTTATCATCATTTCCCCCTCAATCATTGACACACGTCCAGGCGGCCCGCTTCTTTCGCGGCAGCCGGGGTTATCGCTCAGAGCCGCGGCTTTGGGCGTTTTTCGTGATGACAACTTTGGGTGGTATGGATGGGAGGACGGGATCAGTACATATGTGTGTGTGAGATACGGCCAAAATAAGGATAGACTACTTTAGTAAGTGAGGGTCCAGTTGTGTCCAGAAAGCGCACCAAACCATGCAAAGTGATAGGCCCCCCCAAAAAAAAAACGATAACTTGTAACCATATGAGAGTGCATTAAACTTGGTGCAAACCAAGAACATAGTGTTGTGCACCTTCACGCGATGGGCAAAATTGATGAAGAACATTCAACCTGCAGTGCGCACGTTTCTTGCAGTGGCCATGTCATTTGTTGTCCAAGGTGATTGAACCGTTGCTTTCTGTAGGCAGTTAGTTTTTTTTCTCCCAGGTCCCAAAGCAGTAGAATTAAACTAAACTAAATGACTGAATGCAATTTAATTCTGAATTAAATCAAAAATATTTTTAAATCAATTATGAATTCCATTTATGTGCTGCATAATCTAATTTGAAATTATTCTTCCTTTGTTTCCTTTTTTTCTTACCTTCGTTTTTTCCTTTTACTTTTCCTTTAAAACTAGACGCAATTGAATTCTGAAGTAAACCGTAATTGATTTTGAACCCAATTCTGAATTCTATCTATTTCATGTTTTCCTGTTGGTTTCATTTGTCCGTTTCATTTCCTCTTCCTTTCTTGATCATCCTGGTGTTCTGATTCAGCGATAACCTTCGCGATAACCTAGCGATAACCTATTGATCTTATATTGGTTACTGTCATTCTAGTTTGGAGTTGAGATTGTAATATATTTCCTTGCTTAGGAAAGAGTCTAGGAATGTACTTAGGTAGCTCCCCAACATGCTTGCAAGCGCAAAGACAACGAGCGCCCCCTTAATCCATCCCCGGCAGTTTAGAGATCTGAATCCGTGAAGCCAATTCCGCTGCATGTTTGCTTTATTTAGTGTTGATTTGAATAAAACACTGTAAAGCGATAGGCCCCCCCCCAAAAGCGATAACCTATATTTTCGTACCAAGCATCCACAATTGATTTTGATGGCGGCTCACATATATACCTTGACCCTCCGAACCCGCAAAATTCGCAGGGTGGCACTTAAAACCCAGGGTTTCAAAACAAAACCCAAGGTTTTTCTATTTCCACAAATTTCAAGACCATGCCCCCAAATGCTCTGATTTTATCAAAATGCGGTGGGTCCTCCAAAAGTGTTGCATTTCTGTCCAGTCTACTGGTCATCGACGCCCAAACACAAGCCCAACACACAACAAAAACATATTATATTTTCACCAGTTCCAACGGGTTCCAACCCATGTTTATATCATGGGTGCACACGGGTAAATCACGGGTTGAACATGGGTTGAACACGGGTTAGAGAAAACCTGGTTATTTTCAAAATACACGAGGTTTAGCCTACAAACCCTGGGTATTCCTTAAGAAAACACGGGTAAATCACGGGTTGAACACGGTTTGCTAGAGGCTTGAATTCCCGACCCGTACTTTTCCATGTTGGGGTTGCGTTTTTCTCTCCTTCAGATGTATATGTAGATGTAGTTTCCTGACGGTAAGGCTGAATGGAGGAAAATCTAAGAAACATGATGAAGCAAAGTAGGAGAAGTGTTGGAAGCAAGCACTATATCGAATTCGGACAGTTTGTAAGAAAACCCTGTTTTTTTTTGTGACAAACCCAGGATTTTTAGCATGATCACGGCTAAACCCAGGGCTTTATTTAGTTTGCACCCGACAAATTTGTAGGGTTTGGAAGCTAAGGGTATATATACAATTTCACATATATCATTATCATATGTCTTATTTCAGGTCGATTGTCATCGATTCCCTTCCTTTTCGGGGATGGTTATGGTGGCAAAAAGGGTTACATATTTACGGTTATTATGGGATGTTTTAATGGTTAGAATTGGGATAATGACGGCATCATCATTGGATACAGCGGTGTTATATGCGGTCGTAACCTGCAGTGATGTTTGTTGGTTTGGTTTCAACATGTTTCAACCATCTACCTTCTGGTAAACATGACTATGCAAACAATAACCGTTTCTCATGGGTAAATCAACGATTTCTATGGCCATTTTCAATGTCGTAAGCTGTTTATATCCGCCATGGCCCGTCACCACCTTGCAATGATTGTGAGGAAGCTGTGGGGAAAACTTAGGGGATCCATGCAAACCAATCGATCAGTGACCGCTTAACAAATCCATGAGCATATATTATATATACTGTAGTATGTGTATATATATATATAGGTATAACATCGGTTTATCCCATTTAAGTGGTTTATCCCACGTGTTTCTTTGACGTGGTTACAACCCTTTTGTCCCACACCCAGGAATCCAAAGCCAGCTCCACTTCCATATCCAGACTGGATTCCAGACTTGTTGCTTGGAGCAACCAGCAAGGCCGCAAGGCAGTTGGAAGCAACTTTCATGACATTTAAGCATCATCTCCAGGTGGGGGATGCAATCACTAATAGAAATGTCATGAAATTTATAGAGGAAATGGTAAACCAATGGCTTAATGATTGCCATGTGACCAAATTTGTCTTTTCCAGTGGTTTTCCTGCAAATGTGTGTAATGAGTAATGACCAACAAAAAAGTGGCTTCCCATCTCTGCAGTGAGTTCATCTTGAATTTCGATGTTTGAGGCCGGAATTGTAAGTTAAGAACCAGCTTCGATTCCTGGGTCCCATGGGGTCAGAACATGCTACATCCATGATTACTTAGATGTCAGCTGCAAATCCTGAGGTTTGCATCCAAGCATTGCGAGTTACCCTCTGGTAAACATACAAAAATCTATGGAAAATCACCTTTTTAATAGGTAAATCAACTATAAATGACAATTTTCAATAGCTATGTTTGTTTACCAGAGGGTACCATTAAGATCACGGATTCGAACTCTAGGGAGGGTGGTCGATCCAGATGTTTAGGAGAATTCAAAAGATTTTATGGGTATGGTGGTAGGATGTGGTAGGACGGCATCTATCCATCTACCAGCGGTGTCCCCGGATGATTTCACCAAAACCTCGGCATGGTCGCATAGTCCGCCGAACGTGCGCCACTGGTGATCCCACCTCCCTAATATCAACCCCTACAGGATGGTGCCCCCCAGCTATGTTTGTTGGTTTATAAACCAGTATAGACCCCATTAACTAGTTCGTTATATCTAACATAAACCATGATTAAGCAACTTTTTTTAGGCAACTTAGCTATCTTGGAGGCCCCATCATGTATGGGCCACCAAGTCAGGAATAGATCCAAGTCACATTTGGTCAAGCTTTCGTGGCTGGGGTTATTTCATACGAAGGGCGGAAGGGTTTGCAATATGAACATATATGAACTTCGAATGTCAGCAGTACTGGTGGATTAATATGGGTTAAAAATTATTAATTCAATGGATTGGTTCAAGGGGCAAATTACAGGAAAGCCTTATATTATTCAATGAGAAAACCTATGGTTTCCTGCAGATTTTCCCTTAAACCAGTCCATTGATTAATCCCTTCATAAGCCACCAGTACTTGCAGATCTCATCCTTCCCCGGGCGCCGGCACCCAGGAGTTTGCCGATTCCCGTCCATCGCTGACGCGCGATGTGTCCAACAATTCCCTGTCAGTTTGACAGGTACCCAGCACCTGGGCTCATGATGTGGAAATGGAGTGTGGCTTTGTCCGAGAATTCTTTTTAAATGGTGAAGACATCAGGTTTTTGTTTGTGGAATATGTTTATCAATAAGCCAAGATCGCGAAAATGATGATCCCATTGGAATCCCATGGTGAAACAGAGATTTTCAACATGGTGGCGCCATGTCGTGCCCGGTCCATTAGCTAAGTTGGATGTATAACTTTATAACTTCTAAATAATTTGTAATCTGGCTAACATGATTAACCTATACACGTGAACTATAGATCATAATATATCATAATCGATCATACATACATGTATATAATGTGTATATATGTGTGTTTTTTCAATATATATATATACATCGTACCGGCTACTTCTAGTCAGGGGGCAGCACCTTGCTGCCGGCAGGTCCGGATAGTCAGAAAAATCTTCGCCGCTCGCGATGTCACTGATGTGCTGATCTGGGTGGTTTCGTTGAGCTTCAGAAGTAGCAGTCGCCCATGACATGGGACTGTGTTGCATCCACTTGTTGGCTGTGAGGACACATAAAGACCTAAAATCTACGAGATAGCTCAAGTATATGATACGAAAGAGGATTTGAATCGACATCTCAGGGCAGATGCTTGTCGCACTTAGTGCCTGGCTAGTAGCAATCTGGCAATGGTAAGAGACGACTTTTCAATGCGTGTCCAGAAATTTGGTCCTTGGTGGTTGCGGGAGGATGGCCCCCACCCAAGGGCCAACAGGACCCCTGTTCTGGATAAATGATATAACAATTTCACTGCAACGTTAGTAAGGGGAATCCTACGGTTAGTTCCTACATGTTCCTATGGTTCATTCAATCTACCTTGGGATAACACTATTGCTAGTGAGGGGAATCATCCCCAATGGTGAATTCTTACAGTTTCTCCGGAATGTTCTCTTCCATCACCCAAACCAGAGCTCACCAAGTACGACGAAACCGGCGAAAGATCTTCGGCTGGGAAGCATGTACCGTCGCCTGAGTCTGCCTCTCGCGACGCCTTGCTCCACTTTGCCAGAACCAAAGGCCCGAGTTGGGAGAAAGGAACATCCATCTGGATTTAGCCAACAGTTTGGTACCCGGTCCCATCCGGTACCCCAATCCAATGGTGTATCCCATGAAAATCTGTCAGAATAGTTTGTTGATGTTTGTTGTTTTTCCGCATTCCATGTTTGCCCGGTTGCCCTATTTCTGGAGAAACTGATCAACGTCCTGGTTGACTGGTTACTGCTGACTGTGGGCGGGGTGAGCTGGACGAATGGATCTCACTTGGAAATCATGCTGAGTGGAGAAGCTGTGAATGATAAATTGGCCTGCAAACCCCCATCAACTGTAGATACATCATGATGTATCTACCACAAGCTCTGGCTATACTACTTAAAAACCAACTTGAGTGATTTGAATGTATATATATATAATGGATTATAACGGCTGTTTAAGAGACTTCCGCCGCAAAAAAGATGCTGGCAATGTAACTTCTGGATGCTTCAGGCACCTCCACATTTCCATGGAAAAATGTCATGCATTTGGGGGTCATGTTGCATCGCTTTCCATCATCCCAAATGAGGGGTGCACTGGATAAGAAGCACAATTAAGGATAGCTTCTTCTTGTTCTACCTCGCGATATTTCATGCACGCTCAGGCTCAGTAAAGAAACATAAACAAAGTGAAACAGCTGTTGGGCAAGAGCAATTTTACAACTCCTGTGATGTTTCCTAAAGCTCAGATGTCATATCAAGTTCGTGCGTCCAAGACCCTGGAAGTGTTTTTCTTTGTGAAGTTCATTTGGTATATGATTTGCATGGCCTGATGTTGGGCAATGCAATGTTTGATCAATTTCTTCATTCTGTCTTTGAAAAGCTAGCATTTGGATAAACATGGGCTTTGGTTCAACGGATGAACCTTTGGCCATTATTATCGAGGATGATTGCATATGCTTCTCAAGACGGACCTAAAACATATTTCCGAGGGCCAAGGGGTAGTGTATTTGCGATTAGCCATCCACCTGCCCTGGTCTCCCACTTCGGTTGCGCATGTTTTGCGTCCGTGGCTGCAAGCAGCGGGCAGTTTTGCCGATAAACAGCCCCAATCATGGTGCTGCTGGTTTGGGGGGTTCGCACCATTTCGAACCCCGGCGTTTCACGTGGAATTGCAAGGAAATCTCCTGGATTCGTCCCAAAAAAATTGGGACCCAACATGGCCCAACAAAAAATCAGAGGAGAGATGAGGGATAACTTTAGCCATTTTGGCTCAAGGTTTTTAGGCTCTGGGCCCGAATCCTACCAGGGGGGTAGAGCGGTCCTGGCCAAACTTCGGGCGGGTAGATTAAGCCATGGGCGTTTCATCCAATTTCCTGGAACCTTCGTTTTCTGACCTTTCGGATGGCCAGCAGACAGATGTGGTGGCACAGGTTTTGATTTTCTGCCCTGGGGCCCATGTTTGCAGATCTATGGTCAACCACCAAGTTTTCCTCACCAATGCTCCGATCAATAGAAACACGATGAAGATGACATTATTCAAGGTATCTTTCCTGAATGGTCGTAGGCCTTGGTTGGATTTCAGAAGTGATTCTTTTTTGCTAGAGCATCAGTCGACAAACATTGAGAAGCTTCAGCAGTTGATCGAGGGATGTGCAGGAATCGGGGCAGTTGACGTTGGTTTCAGATTTTTGGGAGTTGACACATGCCTTTTCGTGGAGCAGAATCCGACCTTTTGCAAATGGGTGAAAGACAGGTATTCAGTCCAAGTGATTCAAGGAGACATCTCAGCGTCAGCTACGGCGGCCGAAGTCGCAAAGCAGACCGGGTCTGGAACGATGGTGAGCGCAGGTATCTCATGTCAACCGTTTTCACTGGATGATCATAGCAGGTCTTTCACTGGAACCCTTCAGTTGAGCTATCTTTTACAATCAGTCATGACCATTTTGGAATGTACCCCTCAAGCCAAGCGATCCCAATGGATTCAAAGCCATTTAGAATTGCACAGTAAGCTCACAGGAAGTACTTTCAAACAAGAGGTACTGCAGATGCATCACATGTGGCCAGGACGCAGGGACAGATGGTGGTGTACCATTGCAGCAGAGTATGTCCCGCTTGAAGACATTCCTCCCATGCCATCTCTGCGGTTTGATCCTTTCATTCTTCATCTCATCCCCAACATGATGGACAGTAACACATGCGACATGAAACAACTTGTACTTGATGATGATGAACTCAGTGCTTTCCAAACGGATGGAAGGGGTATCCGATCACATTGCATTAACACATGTAAGGGGATGCCAACAGGCAAGGGGATTTACGGAGTGCTTGTGCCGTTTGAGGATGCAAAGCAGCCTCACATGTCTCTCCGTGCGCGCCATTTACACCCGACTGAGGTATCACTGATGTGCGGACTCCCTCCGTCATACTTGCAAGCATCCGACACCAGCAACATTCGACTTGACCTGGCCGGAGTGGGTCAATGCGCATCGCCACTCCAATCTTTGTGGGTGTTTGCCAACGTTTTGTACCAATTGCAGGACAAAGGACTGGTTCAACAGGTGGAACATCCCAGGCATTCCCTAGCACAGTTTTGTCGAATTCTGCTGAAGGAAAGGGATGAAATTTGGCCACATGCTGACACGAAATACAACCGGATTTTCCAACATGAAATTAACAGCATTGATCATCCTTTTTGCTTTCCAAGTGTTGAGGAGTTGGATAACATGGAATTCAGGCCGAAAGGTGCAGGTGAAGCAAAGTTGGGCGCCCGAGCGTGTACAAAGATTCCCCGTGCCGGTTGTACAGCAAACACCGAACAGGATCCAAAACCCAACAACCTGATTGGAACCTACGAGACATCCATTCATGGAGCATCTGCACCAGACAGCGGGCCGTGTACAAAGTTCCCAAGGGATGCATCCGAATACCCTAGGAATGTTGGAATCCCAGAAGACAGACTTGCAGCCGAAGGGACGACAAACACAGATCGAATCTCTCCGACCGTAGTGGCGCCCATACCCGATGCATCCGACCATGCCATCATCTCCAAATGCACAGGACATCCGAATCCCGACCGCATCCGATGTACAGAAGCATCCAGGGTTGCATCCGATCGGTGTACAGATCACATCATCTCCAAAGACGCCGGACATCCGAATCCCGACCGCATCCGATGTACAGAAGCATCCAGGGTTACATCCGATCGGTGTACAGACCACATCATCTCCAAAGACACAGGACATCTGAATCCTGACAGCATCCGATGTACAGAAGCATTCAGTGTCGCATCCGAGCGGTGTACAGATCACATCATCTCCGAAGGCACAGGACATCCAAATCTCGACTGCATCCGATGTCCAGAATCATCCAGGGTTGCATCCGAGCGGAGTACAGATCAGATCATCTCCGAAGGCACAAGACATCCGAATCCCGATAAAATCCGATGTACAGAAGCATCCAGGGTTGCATCCGATCGGTGTACAGATCACATCATCTCCAAAGACACCGGACATCCGAATCCCGACCGCATCCGATATGAAGAAGCATCCAGGGTTACATCCGATCGGTGTACAGACCACATCATCTCCAAAGACACCGGACATCCGAATCCCGACCGCATCCGATGTACAGAAGCATCCAGGGTTGCATCCGATCGGTGTACAGATCACATCATCTCCAAAGACGCCGGACATCCGAATCCCGACAGCATCCGATGTACAGAAGCATCCAGGGTCGCATCCGATCGGTGTACAGATCACATCATCTCCGAAGGCACAGGACATCCGAATCCCGACAAAATCCGAGGTACAGAAGCATCCAGGGTTGCATCCGATCGGTGTACAGATCAACAGATGACATCCGTTGCATCCGGCCTGCAAAATGCATCCGTTCGCCGAGAAACCAAGCATGCATCAGATGCCTTTGCTGACCTAGGTGTTGATTCACGTGAAGCCCAACATGGCAATGTCAGAAGTGACATGGATGAAAGGCAGCCTCTTTCTGGTCCATCAGTTTCCACAACAAAAGCCAAGATGAATGACAGGATTGCCAAAGGCAAAGGTGGACACATACTAGCGAGCATTGCCCCTCATGACCAATCCTTGCCGACAAGCATCAACCCGGTGAAAGAAGCCTCGCAAGCAATGCAAATTACAGCCTTTTCCACCAATGGAGGGGTTACAGGCTTTGAAACCAGCAAAGCACCTGATTCACCGCCATCACTCAAGCGACCGGTAGAAGAGAGTGCAAGCAACAGCACAAAAAGAGCCAAGCTTGACAATCCAAATGCACCAGACCGAGTGCACCAAGACGGAGAACACCACCAAAATGAGCATCAACAAATATCCATGCAACAGGTCGAGCCTCCTGAGTCACAAATTGCCAACACCAAGACTTGCTGGATTGCTCATGAGAACGAAACCATGTTTCCCATTGCCGTTTCAATTGAGTCCACCATTGGTCAAGTAGTTTGCGCAGAAGCAAAATTCCAGCACCTCTGGAATCATGGCGATCACCCTT